AGAATGTTTACACTTTCAGTTTTACCCTTTTTTTTAAGATCTTTCAGTTGCTGCTTTCACAAGTTCTGTGCTTGCCATTAAAATACTTTTGCTTCACACATTCCAAGTTGATGCTTGCCTGGGGCATCTGACACACAAACAGATCATTTCATGTGGGTAATTGCAATAGGTGTGGACATGACTTTGCAGACTAAAGCAGCTGGGGGAGAGGGCCTGCAATTTGACAAGGTTTTCTTTAAAGAACACATTGTTCCAAACAGATCAAGGCTGTAAGTGCAAAGGGCCTTCTCCTCTGTGGGCTGTTTCAGGGAAATTACACAACACTGGGAATATTGAAGAAACTTTGCAGTACGCTTGCCCCATCTTTCCGTGTTTGTGGTGGTGCAGGCTCAGTTGCTACATGGCTTGTTATTTTCTTTTCCCCTACTACCTTTCTTCTTCCTCCTGCTTCCTTTTTTCACCTTCGTTTCTGCTCTTAGTTGTACCTTGCAGTCTTCTCCCCCCCACTTCACCTTGTGTTTTGCCTTTCATCTCCAAGCTGTTACATGTGTTGTCTTGGGCTGGAGCTACGTTCCATTTCAGTATGAAATGTTCAGTTACAGGACACATTGCTCTTATGCAAAACATTTTAATTGCAATTTGAAGTGCACCTACCAGCTGAAGACTAAATATGTGGCCATTTTAAAACTGGGAAGTCAAGAAAAGATGAAGTCTTGTATTTTTCTTACTTTCTTCCTAAATTTTTTTTTACATACGTATTTAAATCTCTGGCATTTCAGAGTGGGATTTATTAGGTTGAATTTTTAATTCCATTTTTAATTCATTTTTCTCATTCCACTGTTGTATGTTAAGACTGTTACACTGCTGACAGCCATATGAAAGGAGAGATATTTAAACTAAGGCAGCTCAGATACAGTTGTGATGAACTGGATGGTTCAGTCCACGATGTTGCTACTTCCAGGCTATACAAGCTTTGTTCACCTGCTGAGATAACACAGGTCCAAAATGGCAATGTAAATGACAGTATTTTGGAGGATTTCTACTTACTTGGAATTTAAAGGCACATACATTAAGATACATGAGCTGTAAAAGTATGGAAAAGGGGATTTGGTAGTTTATAGTTCTTTTAAATCTCAATGTAAACTTTTTTTGCTAGATTACTAGAAATTGCCCAGATGCTGTGTTAAACAATCAGTTTTAAGTGCAGCTTCTATTTGGTCTGGAGACAGGTGCACTGGTTCTGACAAAGGATTGACAGGTTGGCTGTGGGGTTGTGATTTTGTTCACTTTTGTTGGGTTTGTTTGGTTTTGTGTTTATTTGTAACTGTGACATTTTAAATATATACAGATCAATTTATGATGCTGTGGTTGTTTTGTTTCTGTTTCAGTTTATTTGTATTCTAAGGTGTGTGAATCCTTTGTTACTAAGACTTGCTAGGCAGTATGTAAACCAAACCATCAGGCAAATGTTTGAGGTTCTCGTTAATGGTTTTCATTATTTCACTGATGTGGCTGCACTGATAGGTGTTAAGATGGCATCATCTGTTCTTCTGCTGAGATCAGCTGAGGCAGTTTCATGTTGTTGGCTTCCTGTGTTTGGAGATAGCTAAAAAGAGGTAGCAGACCACAATGCTTTGACTAGATTTTCTGCTTTACCAGTTTCTACCCAAATGCTTGCTGAAATCTAGTATTAGGAGCTGAAAGACTTGTTCTCTTGTTTCAGTTTTTGACATGTATGGAAGTGTTGTTCATATATGACTGGAAGTCCAGTGCCAGGCTTCCTCTTGACTTCATCAGGGCTGCAAGCATTCTGAAGTTGTCTTCTAATTTTGCTCAGAGCAGCACATCTGAATCTCCATTTCTTATGTCTAACATGGCAATCTTGTCCAAAGAATCCCATTCCCTCCTTTTTATGGAAGAAAAGAGCAGTTGTTTCTCTGTAGTTTTTCCTCAGACATAGTTCTGTTGTAAATGAGTTGCCACAAGTCCTTGTACTATAAAAAATTCCCCTGAGAGAATTTCTGGGTGAAATAGTCACGATACTAAAAAAGGGTGGTTTTATTTTCTTGTTTGGTTGGGCACAGGGTTTTCTGAAAACCATTACTTGCATTTCACAGAGAGGATGCCCTGTGGTTAAATTTGTAGCTCTTAACCATTCTGGTGGTGTCAGTACTCCAGAAACATCTGGATAAGGTGATAAAGTTGCTCTCTGAGATCATGGAGATGCTTAATTTCACCATGGGGAAGTAGTGTGGACCAGTCCTCTAACACCAGATTGCCAGTTCTTCCTGGATTTCCTTTTCATTCTCAAATGAAATCTTGAATTTGAGATATCTTCAAGTATCTGAAAACTGTCAGCATGATGGGTTATAGAAATGGATGCTCCTTCTACTCCTTATGAGTGTAGGTGGATGCTGCAAATAGTCAAAATGGTGACCTTTATGGCAGGCATAATGAGCAGTCTGTTTTGTTTGGGGATTCCCTGCCTACACCTTGCTCCTCTAGGTAGGAAACACAATGTTCAGCCTTTTTGGTTTTCCAAGTTTCCTTAAGATTTTCCCTAAATTTCATTTGGGGGAAATGCATGGTTGGTGAAGTAGGGGAATCTGGCTGGGGAGGTCATGGTGTGCTGTGTATCGAGTACAGCATCTGCTGGGGGTAGCTGGAATGTGTGTCTCAGAACCAGGACTGGGGGTGTTCCACAGAGCTCTGCTCAAAGGCTGCCCTGCAGATCTGCAGCTTCTGGGGTGGGCTGCAGAAAGAGCCTGACTGCTTCTGCATAGCTCCTGTTGAGGAGATTGCTGTCCAGGGGCATTTAATAAAAACCTTGAATAGTGGGGCTGGCCAAGAGAAGGTCTTTCTTCTGAGATTTGCACATATGAGACCTTGTTGGCTGAGTTGATTTAATAAGTCTGTTTAACTAAGGCTTATTCAGGATTTTGGCCTTCCAGACATTTCAAAATAAAGAAATGCATGCTGTGACACTTGCTGACTTGGAAATTCAAAGAACTTTCTCACTGGCACAGTCAAGTAGGGCTTCAAAACAGTTAGCTGTCATACAGAGTATTTTTCTAAGGATTTTGATTTCCTTGCAGAGGAAGAATTGAAAGGAAATTACTTCATACTAATGTATTTTTTAGTGGGAAGAACTTAATAGCTTGATATTCAGTTTTCTTCTTTCTGTAGTTCCTTTTAAATCTCCCTCTCCATTTATCAATCTGCTTTCTCCTGGCAGAGAGAACCATGGTTCCAAATACACATTGGTGGCTGGGAAGATCATCCAGTTGGAATGAAAGTCTTCTTGACTTTATGCTAATCAATTTATCATTGATTATTTTAATGTGCCTTTTTCTTAAGCTTCAAGTTAAATCAGCTCATCATACTAAGAAACCTGAAGCTAGAAAGTATTTTAAATAGCAACCACTCAACAGAAGAATTCTGTGGTTAATAACTGAAATATGTTTCTCTATGTATTGGAAAGATGAATCCCTGTAGAGATCTCTTATATCACCTGTGAATATAAGTAGTTAGATATTTTGTACTTAAATTTGGTATTGTATTTTATTAGCAGAATTTCATCAGTGGCAGCATCAGCGGCAGCATCAGCTTTAAGACAAAAAGAAATCAGGTTGTAATAATGGATAATAAAGAGAAATGTCAGGCACTCCAAATTCACTGACTGATAATTCAAGCAGCTTCTCCTTGCATTTAGTAATCATAAGATGCCTCTTTTTGCCTCTCCTCAGAGCCTTGCCTGTGTGAGGATTGCCTTTAGGACTTCCTTAAATGCCTAGTTTTTTTCCAAATGAAAGGTCATAGAGCAGATAATCTTAATGCTTAGGCTTTGTGCATCTGTCACCATCTGACTGCACAGAAAAATCTCTAATATTCCTAGGGTGTATCATGTCAGCATTTGTACAGACCATGTGGGTCTGATAACTTATATTTTTTCCCATGTTAATTGCTCAGAGATATTTGATAATTATGGTGCTTTTGTAACTCCTTGTCTGTCCTAAGGAAACTTGTTTACTCTAATCCATAAATGTGTAGCAGTTCAGTCCAAGAATAAGTGATAATCTCTCCACAGAACAACAATAAAAAGAAGAAACCTCAACTACTTATTGTAGCAAGTTTAAGGAAGTAGAAATTCATATAATCATGATTGTTTTCTAGAAAGTGTCTTTAAAATCACAGAAATATGTAAGACCTCCCCCATATTTTTCTCATCACCTAAGGGAAAATGTTAGGGATCTCTACAGTCTGACCAGCCATGGGACAGCAGTTGATCTACAAGATAAATCTTGTTTGGTGGTCTTCTAGGGTTTTTTGTTAAAACATATAACCTGGGCAATAGCTTAAAAGATCCCTTTATGCTTTCTAAAGGGAAGATTAAAAATAGATTTGTGTGTAGAATAATAAATGCTAAAATTTTTCATAATGGGTGAGAATACAGTAATGAAATTACTGAATACAATTGGAGTTTTCTGATGGTTTTTGATGTGTTTTGTAAGCATACAAGTTCCAGTGTAGTTTTCCCTTTTTCTTAATATGAAGTCAGTGTCTTCATAAGTACAGCAGCAAAGCTGTCTCAAGATAAGTAATGCATTGTCCTGATGACTGCTCTGTCAGAATGTTATGCAGAGGAAAGGACAGGTTACAACCAGATTAAAATGTTAGGAGTCATAGTTGAAATACACTATACCAGCAAATTATTATGCATTTACTTGTAAAACAGCAATGTGCTACTAGTCATCAATTTGTAAAAACCCCTTACAAAGCTGAAAATACTTTAATACTTGTTTCTGCAATACAGTCATTTGGTTATGGCCCATTTTTCAAGTCCTGGGATATTCGTCTGAAATTACCTTCTCTTGATAATTTCAGCAGTTCCTTTCTAATAAGTATCAATTCTGAGACCTCTCCTGAATGTTCAATGTGTCCCTTTTCCACCTGTGTTCCCTGGATCTGCTTTTGCAAAACAAAGGAGTTTTGTCTTTCAGAGCGGGAAGTTCACAGGAAGTGAATCAGGAGGTGTCATTGATCTTACACTGGATGAAGAGGATGACAGCTGCTCTCAAGGTAGGTGAAAAATACTTTCCTAGCTGCGGGGATAGTTGAGCTACAAGTGTTATTTCATCCTTTGAATGGCAGAAAGGAATCAACTTCTGTTTCTGCTTAGGGTATTCTTTTCTTTGGCGTTTCAGTTAGATAGGACTCCTGTTAAAAAAATTATGTTAGATATTAAAGAAAAAGAATTTTGCTTACAGTCTTAAAGATTTTTACTATTCCTTTATTTTAAGCATTAGGGCTATCTGTGCATAAGTACCTCAGGCTTGGGGAGTAATTTGAGATGTTTGAGTTTTTGATGAACTTTTCAAAAGCTCTTCTAGATGTATTTATTTTTTCTTTTTACTGGTTATAATTAAAGGGCTTTTAATTCTACAGTTGATATTTAGGCATTAGAGTATTACAGCTTGTAATCTTTTGTTTAACTAACACTTAATGTGCAAGAGTTTAAAGACCAAATGCAAACTGTTGTTTGCTTTAGGACTGTATGCCAAGAGCAGAGTAAATATAGTCGTGCTCTTGTGTATTTTGGCAGTTTGGATGCACTTCATCATTTAAAAGAACACATTTCTTTTTATATAAATCTTGTGTAAATGTAGGCCATCTAATTATAGTTAGCATTGGATTAGTGAAGAATGGTAGTACTTCACAGAAGTAATGAGTCTCTACGTAAGGCCATGTATTGTGCTGTCGTTTCCATTGGAAAAAAATCATATTTCTACTACTGGAGGTAAAATTTTCATTCTGTTTGGCCACTAAATGCATGTCCCTGTGCTACATTCTGAAGTCCAGCCACCAAGAAGTTTGATTCCTCTGGACAACCTTGTAGTTATTTCTCTAGCTTGTGCATTCAAGTTCTACACAAACATTCTTAATAGCTTGACTTGCTTTGCATTTGTATTACACAAATGTAGAAAATCATTTTGGCATGTGGTAGCATTTCTTCCAGTGAGAAATCGTAGAGTTATGGAATGGTTTGGGTTGGAAAGGATCTTTAAGGTGATCTCATTCCAGCCCCCCCTGACATGGGCAGGGACATCTCCCACTAGCCCATGTTGCTCAAAGCCCCATCCAGCCTGGCCTTGAACAGTTCCATGTGATGTTATCACCAAAAAGGGAGTGTGTGAGGTACACAAGTATTAGGGAGGCATGATGCAATTCAGATAGCTGACTCTCTGCTTTTCACAGTGAATTGAGTATGAGCCAACAGTGTGTTCTCATTTCAATTTAAGTATTCCCCCAAACTGACACTGCTGGAACCACAGCTGAAATAGGGTGTCCAGTTCTGGCTCCCTTTTCTTCAAGCTCAGAAGAGTTGTGGTAGCACTGGAGAGGCTCCCACTGATGGTGTCAGGATGTTGAAGGCCTGGAGTGCATGACCTGAGAGCTAAGCAAGAGACAGTGTCAGGGCAGCCTACAGCTCCTTGGAGGATAGTTACAAAAATGACAGAGCACAACTCTCTTCAGCAGTGCCAAGTGATACATTAAGGAACTGTGGCCGTGAACTACAAGTTCGGGAATGAGGAGGAAAGAAATCAGCATAGTGCTGCACAGAGGGATGGTAGAAACTGTCCTATTGAATGTTTTTGAGATTTAGCAGGGCAAAACCACAATAAATTGCTATTGACAATCCAGCTTCAACAAGAAATTGGACTACACAGCCACCAGAGGTCCTTTGCAGCCAGGATTTTGACTTGACAAGCTGAGTGGCAGAATAGCTGAGGCAAACAAGTTTTTATCACTGTCATCTCTTCTGAGGGTTAGTTCTCAAAAAGATAAGAAGGTGGTTACCTTAAGACTGTGCAAGCCTGTCAGACAAGGTTAACCTCCCCAGTCCTATTTAATGTTTTGTAAAAGACACCCAGCAGATAGATTAAAATGGATTTGGGGTATATTTTAAAGTAGCATGTCACAGTATTGTAATATATTTCAGCTAATATTTTTCTATCTTAAAAGTTTCTGAAAATAACATTTTTCTTCCTAATTGCATTAAGTAGATGCTCACCTCACAATTGCCATAAAAGATCAATACCACAGTTGCACATACAATTGTAAGACTGCTTCTGTAGGTAGGAGTGCTACAGAGTTGTAGCTCCACTGCAACTTAATTCTTCTTCAGTTTCTTTGCTGGGGCTTGAGCCAGTATCTTAAAAATTTACCTAGTGGGATATTCTGAGATTCTTTCCCCTTAATGTCAGGTCTTAGAATACTGTCCTTCCGTTAGGGGGAAGGTTATTAGTGGAGTACTTTTGTGCTGGGTGGGTTAGCTCCCCTGTGTCTCTTCCCTGCACAGCAGAAGCTGGTAGTCTGAAGCCAATGCAGATTAGTTCACGTTGGGAATTTGTGTGAGAAGTCAGTGATTTTTAATATGTGCTGTAAAAACATAGGAAGCTCTAATAAAAGCTTGAGTTTCACCCTGCAGTGAGAACACAGCACTAGGATTTTGGAGCAAGTTTCTCAGGAATGCGTTCTGATAAAAATTTCAAGGTTAAACAGAGGAGGAGTACACTACTAACAGCTTTTGCATGATCATAAGCATCTCTGTACCTTTGGCCAAGTATTTTTTCCACTGAAGTTTGTTTACAGCAAATGTGGAGCAGGTTTTATTTTCTCCCAGATTTACACAACCTCAGGATAGAAAATACTTTCAGCATTATGGTGTTCCCTGCAGGAATATTAGCTCAATACTAATTCAAATTCAAGATCAGCACTTACATAGTGTTGTTGGGAACATCAGTTCCTGATTGTCTTTTACAGCATTGTCACCCACATAAAAAGTAAGCCTAATTCTGCTACTTGTAATAGGTATGTGAATAGATCTTATTATCTGCTAATATCTAATAACATCTTCTGATTTGTGCAAAAATTATGAATGAAGAGGGTGTGTAATTTTTGAGAAACCATGTTAAGAGTAATCTAGATACTTTCCTGCTGCAAGTATCTTGCAATACTTGCACTTTGGACCTTGCTGGCCTTTTTTCAAAAAGGATCATCAAATTATTTTGTATTAATATTGAAACAATTAATAGATTTAGTCCAAAGTGGGTCTGTAGTCTAAGAAAGATACCTAAATGCACTCTTAAATTAAAACAGCTATGTTCTGCTTTTTCATTATTTTGTAAGAAAAATTATTATATACATAATCAGTGTTTTATTTTATAAGGTGTTTTATCTGGTTAACAAATCTGTAGTTCTCTGGATAATTTTTTTCTTATTCTTGAGCATGCCTGTGTCATGCTTGGTGTTCTGTAATCCACCTATACCAGTTGTGAACCAGAACACTGTTCAAACCTCCTTTGTGCTATAACTGCAGTGTTGTAGACTGTTTCTGGCATGGAAATTAGTCCCTCTTCTGTTTTGTGTATTAGAGTAGGAGTTTTGCTTACACCTCCAGTAGTAACAGTTTCCATTTCATGCTTATTTCCATAAATCATACTTTGCTGTGTCCTCTAGGTCCACATTTGTTGTGAATATGATGCTGTGTTCATTTAGTATTGGAAACTGTTCCATAATGACTTCTAACCTTAGTCCTGTGCTTACTATGTACCCAGTCTTCCTCACTTTTTTTTTTTTTTGCTTAAATAGCCTTTTCCTCTTATTTCCATTTATTTAATGAAGTCTAGTTAGTTATCTGTCATCATTTCCTGTGGGTGGTGCAATGCTGACCTAGTTTCCAGTCACTGGAATGTCAGCAGGGCTCTTCTTGATTTGTCAAGGGTAAATGAACTTGCTCTGTGTGAAATCAAAAACAAAAGCAAAACTGGAAAAGCCCTCTTGTTTGTCCAGACTGTCATCTTTCCTTGCACCACATTTACAGCAGTAGGCTGTAAAGGTGTTTACTTGTTGCACTGTAAGTGCATCTTGTAAATCATGACTAAGAAGGCACTCACATCACTGAAATTATTCAGTGGTAGTTGAGATGTGCAGCAGTCTCTAAATATTTGAAGTAAAAACAAATGTGTATACATCTCTGTAGGAATCTCTTTGAAGTCAAGTAGTTTATTGAACACTGGGAAATCTCTCATAATCAGGGACAACAAAAGAAGCTTGAACCAATCACAAGGCCCATTAGTTAATCAAAGAGCAGGAAGGATCTCACCTTTTGTTTTCAAAATAAGCATCCCTTCACTGCTCCTTTTATAGACTTTGGAAAAAAAACCAAACAAAAAAACACAGTATATTTTCATCCAGTGGCTTCAGTGAAGTAGCTTGGCTGTTGAGTCTACAGAAAAACAATATGGGCTGCAATTCATACTGTGTTTTATTCTTGAGGTCTTGAATTTGGGGATATGGTCTGGGGGTGACTATGCTGGTGTTGGGTTGATGGTTGGACTAGATGATCTTTAAGGCCTCTTCCAACCTTGATGATTCTCTGATTCTGTAATTATGTCTCATAGAATCATATAGCAGTTTGTGAAGGGTACTGCTACTTCAAGCTGTTAGCAGCCAGTGTTAAACACAGCTCAGGGAGACCATCCAAATAGTCTTAAACTGCCAGAAACCCCAACACTCTGAGCTATGGTGGCATTAACCCTCTTCTTAATGCTTTCAAATCTAGCTGGTATACTTAATTGAACATTTTAAATGTGGTCCTCACTATATTGTTCTATTTTCTCAAGAGTAAAATGAGTATTTACATATTGTCATCTTTATATTCTATGCTCTTTTACTGAATTAGTGGCTGATGTAAGTACAGTTTTATTAGGGGAGAATCCTTTTGAGTATCAGTCCTTAAAATCTACTCTTTTATCTTGTGGTGTTTAGTTCTTCAGGGGTGGGTGCCTCCTCTGCCCATTACTGCTTTAATGTCCAGATGAAAGCTTCTCAATTTTTCCTAATTCAACTTGTGCAAAGTCTTGATTACATACAGCCTTGCACTCTAATTAATATTTTATATAGTCACAAATAAACTAAAGCAGGAAACAGTATTGCAGTAGTAAGCTACAGATACAGGCAATATTTGTCAGTATCACAAGTCAGTAAGTCATGTTGAGGAGGGTGTCAATGTGATAAAACAGATTTTCTTTTTAAAATTTTCTATAAATAATAAAGCAATTTCCCCCTTTTTAAGTAAATATTGTGAAAATTCAAAGTAGCAGCAAGAGGACTAACAGATTGAAAAAAGGAAAGAGTCAGCAAATAAAAAGATGTAAACATCAAAGATAGACAAGATTTATTTAGGGAACAAAATTTGAGTATTGCAGTGTTCAGGCCTTTAAAGGTTTTAGGATTTGCTTTTAGTAACAACTTTTAAAGACTTTGGCACAGTGTTCCCTTGAATTCAGGTTTCCAAATTGCTCTGAAATATGCAGACTTCATGATAATAGAATAAAACATTGTGGAGTGTGTCTGGACAGGGGAAATTGCAGGGATGAAAGTAAAAAGATTTAAATGAGTTTTCTGCAGATTTGTTTGCATAAGCAAAAAAGGTCAGAGAAATGTCATGCTTCGAATATCCTCACCAGTCTGTAAATGGGAGAGGGAGGAAAGGATTGTAAAACTCTCTGGTGCTTGGAACTGTGATTCAGAAATAAAATTTCTGTTTGCTATTGCCTATATCTTTTGTTTCTTTTAAAGCAGATGGCAAGAAGCAGAAGCAGAACCAGAGCCAGGCACCGGTGCCAGGACTGAGCATACCCAGCCAGCCCTTGACTCGACCCCTGCAGCCTTTGCCACCTTTGCAGCCAAGCCCTGTGCAGCAGCCAGGTGTGCCAACAAGTGGCCCTTCCCAGACCACCATCCATGTAATACCAACAGGTAACTTCATTTGACATCACTGTGTGAGTGCAGTGGCTGCTTTTTTCCTTGAATTAGACTGCTGTGTGCTCTACATTTTGCTAATCTTTTAAAGTGAATGTTTGAGTCACTTCATAATCTTTCATTCTAGTCAGTTTCCCATAACATTTGTTCTTTTAAACTGATAAAGGGGAAGGACAGTACTACTGATTTGAAAAGAATTCAGGGTCAATTTTATTTATGGAGAGGAAGAAATTCTGCTAAGGATAGTCATGGAAGTTATTAAACATACTACTGTTGGTAAAAGTGAAGGAAAAGAAACCTGTACCTTCTTTAAGTAACGGGGGAAAAAACATTATCAGCATCACTCCTATGTCTGTCCCTTGGCAGTTAATTCTTTTGGCAGAGGGAATGGCAAGGCTGACATTGAAGTTCTAGCCCTAGTTAAATATTACTTTGCAGTGTGATTATGTTTTCCCCATCTAAAGAAATGTAGATCCTCATTTTTTCTTTTATTTTTTTTCTGTATGTGATCGCTGAAGATTAGTTGGCATTGGAATTCCCTTATGATTACTGTGTTCTGCAGACTCCTTGGTGGATTTTATATTCTTCCACTGCCCTTACACACAAGACCTTTGCAGGGAGTGGGGGAGACATTATATTTATCTTCTCTGTTAGGAAGCTGTATATATATTGACTTTAATATTTCAGTAAAATACCGTTTAGGCTGTTTTCACTTCTCTTGCAATACCCAAAGAGGACACAGTTTTTATTTTACATGGCTCAGATGAGTCAGTTTTCCAAAAGAGATGTGTACTCTGGAATAGGCATATGGCTTTGACTCATGGAATTCAGATTTAGGGTGTGCTCTGTCTTTTTTTCAGCTTCGACAGCGGTGAATGTAACTCATCGGCCTGTGGCTCCAGCTAATCCCAAGCTTCCTATCCCAAGAACCCCTGCTAACCATCAGGTGGTCTATACCACTATTCCTGCACCACCAGCTCAGAATCCTGTAAGAGGAGCTGTCATGACCAGCCCAGGCTTAAGGCCAGTCACCCCACAGACTGGAGGTAAGGGATGATTCCTCCCATGTGCTTCTTACCGTGACATCGCTAGGTACGTTCTACCTCATGGATGTGGCGTTTAGGTTTTTGATTTGGATCTGTTGTTTGGTCTTTTTGCAGTACTGGTGTTAGTTAGAGAGTTTAGGGTTTTTTCCCAGTTTATGGAATTCAGAAAATTCTCGGGCTGCTAAGAAATTCTATTTGCAGCTATGTGAATGAGGAGAAATTGGAGTTAAGTCATCCCAGGCACCAGCTCTGCCAATTAAGTATCTGTGGTACACACCCCACATACTTTACAAGGCAGTGGAAGGTAATATGACAAGCATCACCCTAGAAAATCATGTTTGATTTCCTGGCTAAAAGTTATATTTCTATCAGGCATCCTAGTGTAATTCCTTAGCAATCTCTGATGTCCTGTGCTCAGCAAATTTCTTTCCTTTCTCAAGGCCTCAAGAGATGAAATTTCTCACCAGATGTATCAGAAATTGATATATGCTTGAGTTTCCTTGAGATGTTGGCAAGCTCCCCTTGACTTTGCAAATGCATAAGTGATACCTTCTCCTAGCAATAAACTCATTTTCTGAAATGAGTAATAGATGTCAAAAATAAAGAACTTAAATGCTATTTTGTTACAAAGTGGTGGATTTTAACTGGTTTTTTTTGCTCCCCACAATTTCTACACTATGGTGGTTTTAACACCTTTATGTTTAACATAAATTTCCCTTTTTTATGAGTATGTGCCTACCTTTGTGATGTCCTGGTAGTAATGCTGCTACTGATGTATATTGATTTATGTTATCATTGCAACAGCCTTAAGTGCCAGTAGCAGATGCTTCTTGAGTAGAGTGCTGCTGCACTTTGTCTTTGAAAAATTGATTGTGAGAACCCATCCAAAGTGTTTTGCAAATTGCAGTTTTGTACTTCTGCCTCAAGTGAGTAGTATCCCTACCTAGAAGTGATGCTATGTTTGTATCTTATATCTTATTAAGGCATTTCTGACCATCTTCAGATGGTTGTAGTTTCCTGAGACAGAGCTACAGTCATACTAAACCAGTGTATCTTACCAGGTTCTCACAGAGGAGGAATAGCCAGCTCAGGTTACAGTTCAAACCACAGGAGTTCACACAAGCTTCATCAGCTTCTTAGAGAGACTCCAATAAGAAAAAGATATAAAGCACCTGCCCAGTGTTTAGCACTTTATAATTAAAGCATTAAGATTTAGCACTCTGAGTCCCTGCCTTGCACTCACACATTACACAGACTTCTGACCCTCATTCCCTGTGGATTGTAGTTTGATGTATGTTTATGAAGAAAAGAAATTGCCATACAATAACTGTGGCTTCCTGATAATGTGTTGCTTTGTGAGCTTGTCTTCAGGAGTATGAGAATGCTTCAGTCTTACACAAGTGTAGAACTAGGGTATCATAGAGATTGCCTCAAATCTTGTATTTCTCGACAGAAATGGAGGGATAACCCAGGCAATCCATAACAATGAGCAAAGGCTTTGAGTTCACAGAAATGTTCCAACAGTGACTAGATAAAGTGTTACTTAAGATAGTTAGATGTGGTATAAAATGAATGAAAACTTGGTAGCTTGCAAGAGTTTTGGCTATTATTTACAAGGCTATAAAACTGTCTAGTTTATTGCTGCCAGGCAGGTTAGTTTGCTGTGGGAATGACTGAAATGTTGATGCCTGTGAGTAGTGTCCATCATGGAGTCTGTTCTGGGAGGGAGGACAAGCTTCTTGGACAGTGACTTAGCTTTTTTGCTCTCAGTGTCATCCACAGCACAGCCTTCTGAGTGAATAACATTGTGCTGCAGCAGCATTTCTCTTTTCCTTTCTGAATCCCAAAATGATGTAATTGTTCTTTTCATACTTAAGCTCCCTGTATCTCCCACGCTTCTCCTCCTCACCCATTTCTTTCATGCTACAAAGTGCTAAAACAACATTCTGTCCCCTCTGCAAACACAAGCGCTTGCTCTGTCTCACTTTTACAGCTTCAGGGGATGGGAGGTGATTTTGTTGTTACACAGTGCTTCATCAGTCTGCTGGCAGCTGGAGGAGTCTGTCTGAAATTTGGCTTCATGCAGCAGAAGCAAGGAGCTGGTCTTCCAATGTTCTGTTTAGCTGCCTGTAAGTATTGACTGCTCAGAGTGTTCGTTGTGCTCCCTGCAGGTGTGACCGTGCGGATGCCTCAGACAACCTACGTGGTGAACAGCGGGCTGGCTCTGGGCTCGGGAGCGCCTCAGCTCACGGTGCACCACCGACCGCCGCCGCAAGCGCACACGGTGAGTGGGGCTCTCCAACCACCTCCTCCAATGTACAGCCTTGTCTCTGCACGGGCATCTCAGGCTGCTCTTAGTGTGAGCTGCAGAGCACTCAAATGCCTTGTTGACACTCCACAGCCAATTCTGTGCATGGCACCACCCAGTCACCTACAGCAGCTCCTGCCCAGAATGGTAAAAGCTGTGCAATCTGTTAGCTCACCCTGGCCTTCTCCAAATTACCAGGAGAACATACTGAAAATTAGTGCATGAGCTGTCTGCAGGTGACTCATGGAGTCAAGCGTACATAAAAAATGCCAGTAAAATGTTTTGTCATGGTTTGGCTATGAACTGGGTGGCCGCTTTTTAGTACAGCTCTTTGCAAAACTGAGGTAGGAGAACAAGGTGCAGACCAAATCTCCAAGGCTGCCAACTCCCAAACTCCAGAGGTTTTTAGTCAGTGTTGAGGGTGATCACTTCTGCATCACCTAAAACCCCTTTTGGTGAGAATTTGAGAATTTTCTCTAACACATTTTATTTCATTTCAACTACATTGCCTGTACACTCAATGTTGGGCAGTCACATTAATTACAGTGTCCTGAAATGGTAAATATATTGTCAAGAAGGTGGCTTACCATCCTTTCAGTCTAGACATAATCAACTCAGTGCACTCTTCCATGATAAATAATGAGAATAAATGAAGCAAATATCATGCAGAACACTTAAGATGCCAACAACTACCCCAGATTCCAACCTGAAAGATCTCGGGCTTGAAGCATGGTAACCGCATTCCTAAATTCATCTTAACTAATATAAATGAGAGACCTAGGACTGTTTTTACAGTATAAAAAAGAAGTATCACTGGAAAGACACATTTGTGCCCTTATTTCAAAATTTTCTGGAAAGTGAGGCTGAGCTTTTGTGATCAATTTAAAGTGATAGGATCTATGTGGCATCATTACCCTGTCTTCCTTTTGTGACTGAATACCTGTCTGTAGAAGAGAGGATGAGTTGTCAGCTTAATGCCCTGTCTGGGGTGTTGGGTAACGTGGGAACAGCAGCTCAAATGTAGATTGGTTCAAAGTCACTGTGAACCTGCTTGCCCAGTCCTTGTTAAGGACACAGTGTTGAGTTCATCCTCCCCTGGCTGGGAAGCAAAGAAGATACAGGGAAATTACTGTGGCAATGTCATTCGCACAACTAGGGATTTAAATATGAATAAGAATTTATGGCATCCTTGCTTCCACCCCTTCTCATCATTTGCAGCTGCTGCCTTGCCTGTGCACACAGGACTGAGAGTTCTGATGGCTGGGTGACTGCAGGCTCATCTGCTTCCATTTACCTGGGGAATGATGAATTAAAAGGCTCCTTCCATTGCTGTAGATTCTGACTTTTCCCTTATTGCTCTTGTGCTGCTTAGGAGCCACCACGCCCCATACATCCCGCTCCACTTCCAGAGGCACCACAGCCACCACGTCTGCCCCCCGAAGCTGCCAACACTTCTCCACCTCAAAAGCCACAGCTGAAGCTGGCCCGGGTACAGAGCCAGAATGGGATTGTGCTGTCGTGGAGCGTGATGGAGGTGGACCGGAGCTGTGCCACCGTGGACAGTTACCACCTGTATGCCTACCACGAGGACCCCAGTGCCACCATGGCCTCGCAGTGGAAGAAGATCGGGGAGGTGAAGGCGCTGCCGCTGCCCATGGCGTGCACGCTGACGCAGTTCGTGTCTGGCAGCAAATACTACTTTGCAGTGCGGGCTAAGGATGTCTATGGACGCTTTGGACCCTTCTGTGACCCCCAGTCCACAGACGTGATCTCTTCCCAGAGCAGTTAAACTAGAGATCTTTGGACCCTTTAAACCTGTCCTGCTATCAAGAATTACCCCAGGTTTGGGAGGAGTTGATCCCATGCATGTAATTCACCTTTAAATCCACTCTGCAGGATTGTTTTAGACAGTTGTGTGATACACTACATGCACTCAGAACCAAAAGAAAAATAAAGTCTGACCTGCAGCAAGAGAGCCTGTTTTTTCTAAATAGTTCATGCCATTGGCTATTTGAAAATTTTGTTTTTCCTTCCATGACAGGTGTTGCACCTAGATACCTACTATCCTTTATCCAAGAGCATCCTGAATGCCTGGGGTTCTGCTTCAGAATGGAAACAAAATAGTAAATTGCAGTTTGTCTAAAGTAAAAATATATACATCTGTAATGTCTATTGAGACACCAACACAAGGGCAAAAACAATCTGCCTCTTGCTTCCCCCAGCATTCTGTGATGTGACATGAAGGGTGATTCAAGGTCTCACTTTTTGTACTGGAGGCTTGAGTGGTCTGGTCTTACCTTACAAATTGTAATAAGCTCTCTGAGGGGAGGGAAGGGAACTTGAGTCTGGCCAGGAACCCATGTAAATTTGGAGGTGGTGGAGAAAAAAGAATAATCAACCCACAACCTCCTACCTCTTCTAAGTAAGAATGCTCCTCTATTTTCACTATCTTCCCCTACTCATCCTGGGAGCATTCCCAGATCTGAAACTGGATTGTAAAGTCTCCATTCACACCTTGATAGTTCTGGCAGTTTCTCTGTCCCTCCCCTCATACATCCAGCCCTATTTTTTAGATTTATTTTGTGCCTTAAAGAATAATTTCAGAAATAAAATGTAGCCAGATACCTTGTGGTGTTCTTTTATTTGCTTGGAGTTATTTTTCCTTTTACCCTTCTAGTCTTTTATCAGTGCTTCTCAATTTCCAGGCCTGCAGTAATTGCTATTTATGTAAAGACAAGAAAGTGTAACATCTGCTGATTGTGAATTTGTTCTTATCTGCAGTATCACTCAACCCTTTCCTTACTGAGTAGTTGTTTTTGTCCTGTCAAGAATATTGAGTATACAGACATTATTTTCCACCAGAGCCTTTCCTGGTTCTTTTGGGAAAGCTGCAATTCAGCCAAAGAATAAATCCCCGTGGTGCAGTGCCATGAAAGCTTCTGCCTGTTTGCACTCGTTTGGATGCTCAGTGAGTACAAAAGGAGGAGCTGCTTCCCAGTGTGCTTCTCTCTCCCCTCACCTGCCTGTGTCTGCAGAAAGCAGACATAGCCAAGGGGGTTTTAGAAACTGTTTTAGACACTGGCCTGAACCTTGTGAGCGATTGCAAATGTTAATAGATGCTTCCATGATGTTTCTGAGCTGAGAAAAGAAATTGGTGCATCTCCCCTGCTGTCATTGACTTGTTAAACTTGGTTTTTGTAGAACAAAATTGTAGCGCATCTGGACAAGAAAGTAGATGTGAGGATTGAATTTTGGCAATTTTCAGTTGCATTCCTATCCAGTAGAACCAAACAATGGGTTTAGAGGGGAAAGATATTTTTTTTAATCCACTTCACCATATAGCAAAGCTGCAGACTATGACATTTTTCATTTCAGTGCTCTCTTTCTCAAAACCAGCATGCTGAAGTGTGAAGCAAGATTGAAAAAGTATCAGAGAAGTTAAATCCTCAAACAGGGCTGAAATATTCTAAGAGATAATGGGTTCTGTAGCTGTGGTTCCTTTGTTTAGAACCTTTAAAATGAAAGAAATGCCAATGTAGACGTCTGTCTGATTTACTGCACTGCTTCATGTAGCTGGGAGTGTCACTTCTCTCAGGTGAGTTATGGATATTCTCTGTATGAAAACTTGCATTTTAAAGTTGATTTCGGCAAGCAAAAATTCTGGCTAAATCCAAGTATCCTCAGAGGAGGTTCACACTGTGTATGAACAATGTGTAACCTTTCCTTTGATCTGCAGTTGTCCCTGTACTTCTGGTGCTATTATCAAAAACTCCTTGAATTTTTCTGTGTTTAAGTAAATGTTCTGTTTGCTTATTTTAAGGAATAATTACTTAATAATGCATTTAGATTGTTTGTGGAAATAGACTAAATTATGGTCCTTATAAAGACAGTTCTGTAATAGAGATTAGAACAGTTATTTCCAGTTGATGGCTGTCAAGTCCTTGCACAATTTTTTGTTAATGTGTCTTTGAGGTGGTACCAAAGAGCCTTTGGCTGTATCAGTAGTATGAAATTTTACAAGTTGAAATAAGCATGAGGATACAACCTAGAACTTCATTTTAGTTGTGATTCCAGCCCAAACAATAAGTGAGCTTTGTTATAGTTTGAGCTTCCATTTAGATATCCCTAGTTAGGTTTGTCTCCTTTGGGATAGGCAGGGGGTGCAAGTCCTGCATCAGAGTATTTTCTTTCCTCCAGTGGAGGTATTAATAGGGATGGTGTGTCATTCCATTTGGAGGTTTTGTGGCTGCATCATTAGAGAAAGAAGATTCATACTTAATTACTAAAGATTTAGTTCTTTACTGAACTGACTAAAAACTGGCTTCTGTCTTACCAGATCCATTTCTAGCCTGTATGGCAGCAGTTCTGGGTTTTTGGCAGGATTTTGTGAGACACCTTTGTTGACCAAAGACGTTGCAGCTCTGGAGTGAATGATCACTTCCCTGTTGTTTCATCCCTGCAGGGCTGTTAAAGGTCGAATTCCAGTATCTTGAGCAAGTACTGGTGGAGAAGTGTGTGATAAAGCACACCTTGACTTTGAGATGCCTGGTTTGGTGTGGAGACCTCCAAGGGAGCTGGTCCCTAAATCACTGATGCCCAAAGAGAAAACTATGCCAGTTTTGTGCAGTCACTGTCACTGTGGAGCAGATCTCTGCAGTGAGTTGCTAATAAACATGAGTAGTGCTTAACTCCTTACCTCATGGCAGTTTTTCCCATGTAGTCGAATGGCTGATGGTTTTATTATCTTTCACCTCCCAGAATGATTAAAACTATTGAGAAGCTTTCTGCTAGCAACAATCAACCAGAACAATTTGTTTCTTTTATAGACTTTATTTTAAAGTATTACCAAAATATTTGGCAACATTCAGTACAAGTCTGTTAATACTGTGCTTCTAGACTGGTCTCTTCTTTAATGAAAAGCATCAATCACTGAAGCCTTCCAAGAATCCACTTTTAAATATGCTAAAAATTTCTATATGGTTTTTAAGTGGAATTGTTGAGTTTGGTTTCTTCTCCGCACTTAATGCAATTTTTTCCATCTTTCAATAGCTTGGTATAAAGTTGTTCCTGACTCTGTGTCTGAATTCTGTGATTCTGTATTTTGCTGCTGCCTCTGGGCACATGACATTTCAGCAGTACTGCCTTGGACTGAGTTGCCCATGTTTTAGCAAATACTCCACTGACTACAGCTGTGTTTTCCATCCTCATTTACTTTTGGGTGTGCTTTAGGTTTGAATTGTTTTCTCTGTGTGTGATACAAGGGCATCTGGATGTCCAGGTTGAAAGTAATTTGAGTTAGTGCATTTACTTGGAGAGTAGCCCTGCTGTGGAGTGCTGATGGCAAAATGGCATTCTGCATTTCTCCTACTTACAGCTTCACTGGCCTGTTTTATTGCTGTATGGTTAAAAAACTATTGGATACAAAAACATAAATGCTGGGAGGGGACAGACTGCAGACTGCAGGCATCAGTACTGTCTCCAGTGCCAGCTTCAGAAAACACAAGGATGCAGCTCTCTCAGCCTGTAATTATTTCCATGCTCTGAGCACCTTCCCCTATGCATTGGTCTGACGTTGCTCCTTGGAATTGTTTGTGCTGCCCTTGGCCATGTTAGATCACTGAGCACAAGCACTGACGCCCATTCCCAAGGCTTTTAGCACAAGGCTGGAAACACTAATGGTGTTCTCCCTGTAAAATTAAGGGGTCTTATCCTGTTTCCATTGAAAACAAAGACAAGACCCCTCAGTCTTCACTGGGACCATGACTCAGCTCAATAATAGGATCTGAACATCATTTTGTACTGTAACAGAAATAACCACTTCAGCTCTTCCTTGATGTTGTTAGTCTTAAATGTACAGTAAATAAAACCAATATTATATAAAGGGATGGGTCACGTCTGTTCCTGCTCCCAAGACAGCCATTCCCCAGGATGAGTATTGCATACACTGTACAAAATCAAGCTGTGATTCTGCCTTCTTATACACCCCTTGAGTATTCTCCTTTTGTCAAAAATATCTATGCAGATATTTTAAATAGAAGCTTGATATATTAAATATATATTTTTTTAATTCGTTGATTTGGGTAGGGGTGGGCATTGTATGAAAACACTGGAGGGAGAAGAGATTAAATGACACTAAGCCAGCCCTGCCATGCAAATCTATTCCCTTCCAAACACCTTCTGAGAGGAGAAGGAAAAATATAAGGATAGCTAGGAGAAAACAAATCAATGAATTTTCCTTTTCATCCCTTTTAAGTTAAAAAGGCATCTTTCTTTCTCATTATCATTATGGAGGCTGAGCATTCTTTTCTTCTTTTATATACATATGCCTATATATATGTACAGACGTGTGTATATAAATACATACACACACACACATATATATATATTTGTACTGCTGTCTTAAACTAATAGGGTGTAGCTGTAAATAAAATAGCTAAGTAGTAGTTGTTCAGGGATTCCTGTTCAGCTTTAGTAATTTATTGGTCATCAGAAGTCAAATGTGCAAAATCCTTTGTTGAAAAATTCCAAATCTGATTTCTTGTTTTGTTTTGCAGCTGGACTTGTAAATACAAAAGAAAAAATGTAGGACTGATTTAATGTCCACTTTAAACTGGGCAGTTGCCAGCTTTCCCCATTTTTGTATGTACTATAGATTAGCGTGTGTCTGTGTTAACTGTTAGTGGGGTTTTGTCTGACAAGCCTGGAATTTATACTTTGAAATAAAACTACTGGGTTTTTAACATTTTGAGTCATTTGTGCTTAGTTCCTGACACCACAGGAGGCAATTCTCAAAGAGCCCAAAGCCTGCTCCTCCTCTCCAGAGGTGTTGCCACCTTGCTCAACCAACATTGAGCAGCAAGGCTTTGGCTCGTGGTCATTCCCAGGAAGTCACTGCATAGTGCTGCCCTCACAGAAGCAAAAAACGAAAGCAATGCTGTAACTTCTGGAAAGTTGCCTTTCATGCACTTCTGCAAGGCATGGACAGAGAGAATAAAGTGACCTGCATCCCACAGTTGCCCCAGATGAATTCAGGAATGGAAATCCAGTTGCTGGTGCTGCTCTCCTTGCCCTCCAAGATGCCAGGTTTGACCACTAAAGCAATGGTCATTCTTTCAGCAAGAGGCTTTGGTCAAAGTACTGGAGTTTCTCAGAGCACCCTTCAAGCATGAAGGCCCACTCACCTGGCCAGGAAGCAGCTGCTGTGCACAGCACAAAGTGCATCACTCAGGGTAATGAAATCAGGATTCATAAATTATAAATAAATAATAAATTAAAACATGTCTCAGTGCAGGCATCATGAAGGGCTCTGCCCCCCCACCCAGCTGCCTCAAGGGTAGAAGCCAGGAGCAGCACCATGGCAGATGTTGTGCAACTCATTTGGGACCAATAAACAGCTGGACTAGAAGGCAGTCTGGGAAAATCTGCCTCTTGAACCCAACTCTGCTGCCAAACTGCAGAGAACTCAAAGTACACAGAACATGGAGTTACTGACGTGCCAACCATGCGTTAGTGCTGAGCCTGTACTTTGAGGGTATATAATTAATTTGTGATGCTAATAATTAGTTTCCATGCACTTACTAAAATTTGCCTCAAGTCACTGACCAGAAGATGATGGACTCTTGAGAAGTGATGCCTCAGCACAATCCCACTTGAAAGTCCTGAGTTTCTCAAACTGCCTATTTAAACTACAAGTATATGTACTGCACATAGTGCAGAACCTATGTTTTATCATCAAATACAGCATAACTACTCTGCTCAAGCACTGCTGTAATTGCAGTTCCTGCTGAAGTAGAGCAAAGTGAGAATGTGAACGTGCAGAACACACTGTTTGCTGCAGAGTAGCTCTGGCACACACTCCATGGTAGGTCTGGAAAGTGCTACAGCCCCAGAGCAAAGTCCATTTCTGCACACCACTGATGCTTCTAGTAAGGAAACTGAAAAAACCCCAGCAGTCAGCTGAGAAGCAAATCTGAGCCAGCAGCACAGCACCAGGACACTGCCACCACAGTGCTGTTGGTTTCTCCCTGAAGTACTGTGCAGCCTGGCCTGGGCAGGCACTGGTACCATGCCCAGGTGTCTCCTGCTGCGACAGACTGTGGCCCCTGTTAGAGCTGAGGGTGTGCAGGGTATGACCACTAGAACCAGGAGGGGCAGGTTTGCTACTGAATTTCAGAAAAGGGGGATGGTAAAGCATGTGAAAACTTGTGTTCATGTGACAATTTTGATGGTCCTGCTGAGAGAAGTCATTTCCTCTAGGCATTGACTGAAGAGTATTTTTTCATTATGGCAAGAGAGATTTATCACTACCACCTCCCACTTCCATCTCCCCACCAACTAAGTCCCTCTTCAGCCAGACCTGGAAACCTGAAGTCAAAGAATCAGAAGCCACAAGACCTGGAAAAACCTGAAAGCAGGGTATGAAAAAGGTGGCAACTTCTGCCACAAATCCTCTGCTTAGACCATACCTTCATTTTTTTTATTCCAAGTGGCATCTGCAGAAGGAAATAAGATACTCAAAGAGACCTTTAAACTTCATGTAGCCGTCTGTCAGTTCTTTTGCACCTGCCTACAGGGCCATGCAATGCTGTCAAAGTCTCCTCTGGCCACTGATGCAGCTGTACAGGGAAGAGCAGCTGGACCTAGCTGCTGTGGTCAGGACTGGCAGATCAGCCCTGGCTGGCCTGGCAACAAAGGAAGCACAAAGGACAGCACAGCAAGAGGAATGCAGTGGCCTTTAGCAGAACAACCAAAGGCAAAAAGTAGCCACAGTCACACAGACTGGAGTCCAAAGGCTCACAAGGTCCCATTGGTGTAAATATCTACTTACAGAAAGGCACTCTCAGAAGAGCTCTGATTTCCCACAACTCTGGGTTGGAGCACAAAACAGGTCATACCTCAGGGCAGGAGGCTCAAGGTGACATGACAGAAAAGCAAAGCTGCCATTTCCAGGCATGTTGTTGTGTCATGGGCACATCACAGGTGCCACACAGCTCCACTCCCTGCAGGTGGAAGCGTCTAGCTAGCCGTGCCCTCGGTCAAGAACACTGTTCACTGCAGCAATCCATTGGCAGTTTCCTGGTCCCTGGGGACCAACTTTTAAACAGTACTTCTCCATTTGTATTTTTATATAAAACTGTGTGAAAAAGCAGTAAATTCATGCTGCAGTGTTGCTGCATTGTCTAGGAGTGACAGTGAAATCAAGCCATCCTCCAGCCCCTCTATGCTTTCAGTTTCAAACAAGCAGCTGATTCTTGGTCCTCTGCTTGGTGGCAGCTCAGATCCTTGCAGTGTTCTTCATGACCCAGATCCATTCCCTAAATGTTCTCCTTAATGCCTGCTGCAGCCTGTTCAACCCAGGTCAATTCAATCCAGTCTGTGGCAGTGGCTCCACCACCACATGGAGGAGGTCTCTGCCCACAGCATCTCACACCTACCTCCTACCTCAGCAAACAAATCACTTCAGTCCCTTCATGAATTTTTCATCATCAACAACAGCTTTGCTGTAACTGCTGGGCTCCCTCTTCCCGTGGCAAAAATCACCCTTACTCTGACAGCCAAATATTTAGCTAGAACCTCACCCAGTAACTTGCTCCCTTCCCCATCACACAAGCTAAACACTAGAGGCTTCATTAAAACCTCACACTGCTCATCATTCTTCACCTTCATAACACAGGGCAGTGCTGTGCACTATTTAGCTTGGACCATCAAGGACATGAGGAAAGAGCTGTTTGTTTTATTTAATTACACATAGAACATCTAGCACAAAACAGCCTAGTGACTCGACTCCTTGGTGTAAACACAGGTAGCTAAGAGGCTAAGAGTAGCCCTGGCCCTCACAGCCATCTCACTGTCACATTCCCCTGCCACAGCTGAGAGAGCAGACAAAGATGGCACTGAGCAACTGCATGGGCTGATCCATTCCAAGAGAGAGATCCCTTGTAAGAGATCCATTGCATCACATTTTTGTCCCTGCAGCCTGGGGCGGAGGCATTTCTAAAGCATCAGGCCGCTTCCCTTCACCTTCTTTTGCAGCCTGTGCTGCTCTGGCCACACAAAGGAAGTTTTGACAGTGCCACTAAGAGTCACATCCTGTACAGATCTGCCATGGAGAACACACGCTTGATGGGAAGCAACTTGCAGCACACTACTCAGACAAAAGGCAGACATCAAGCCAGCACTGAGGTAAGGCCATCATGGCCCAAAGCAGCCACCTGGTTTGGCCCAGCTGCTAGAAACAGATCACTCTCACTGGTGGCATTGCTCCTCACTCCTGCTCTGGGAACAGCTGGGATGATGGCTCAGATCAACAGAAAGCTCTGCCACCTGCTTCTCATCAATCCCAGTCAGAGGAAGGGCCACTCAAACAGCTCAGAAGAAAGGAACTTGCTTTGGGCTGCAGAGAAGCAGCCAATATCAGTACAAAGTGCCCAGCAGGCAACATGGGAAGGCAGGTATAAGGCACAGGGATGTGGACATCCAGGTCGATTTATTACACAAGAAATAAAATTTCCATTAAAAAAAAAATCCACTTGTGGATGCTGGCGCTGGTTTTACAGGATGGGCCTCATGGTGACAAAACCGAAGTTGTACGACTCGGGCAGGCCCTGGTGCCGCGTGCGGTTGAAGCGTCTCCAGCTGAAGACCGGGAGGCCACCCTGCACTGGAGGGCCATTGATGGCCGAGGCTGTGAATGCTGCAGCCAGGCGGAAATCCGACACCTGGAACAAAGGACAGGAACCCGGGACAAAAGGGCAGCGTGAGGCTTGGCACATCCCCATCCCAGCCAGCAGGAACAGCTCCGGGAGATTTGATTATAAGGTGAGGGAAGAGAGCAGAGGGAAACACGCACAGGCAGCAATTCCTCCCCTGTGCAGAGGCACCTCCAGTCATGCAGCAGCCAGTGCTGAAGGACACCAGCAAACCACAAGCCCACACTTGCCCTTGCCAGGCTGAAAGAGCCAGAGCATCTGCCCTCAGGCCAACCCTCCCTGATTTTATGGGGCTGCAGCAGGCAGATGAGGGGTCTGCACTAAGCTCTGCTGCATGTTGAGCACCTAGGCCATCCCCGGGGCATGTCAGGGCAAGTCGGGAATGGAGAAAGGCAGCAGAATAAATATTGCTACCCAGGCTCTGCACTGCTCCTTCATAGTCTCCAAAGAGGTCCCAAGCCTCCTCCATCTTCCAGAACTCAGACACTAAATGTGTTGGTAGGGTTTATAACTAGAACAGGTTTGGCCTGTGCTCTGGGTCATTTCTTGCAATGCCCCTCTTAAGCCCCCCATTCCACCTCCAGCCCAGCCCATTCCCCTTGCCTAACTGTGCTGGCTAAGGCACTGCAGCAGGCATTGACCACTCCCTTACCAGACCCCTCTACAAAGCCATTTTCTACATTCCTCTTGTATTACCCAGCTCTGGGAATCTCCCACTACTGTCCACTGCAACACACAGCTGGCTGGACACAGCAATGGAGATATTAAAATAGGCCCCCCCAGTTCCATCCTAGCAACCAAACTCGTAATCCAGAAATGCAGCAAGCTGGACCCCACAGGATAAAACACTGAACAACTTTTCAGCACAGCTGCTTACTTGGGCATTGCTCTTCAGGGTGAAAATCATATAACCTGCCTAAGATGCATGCTGTTTTCTCCAGGACAGTGGGTCTAAGGATTTTCCCACATACCCCTAAAATGCAAAGTGATCTTCACCAAACTTTTCAGAAAGCAGTTTTGCAGAGAGGTGGAGCCCCAGAGCGGGGTGGCTTACTAGAGAACCAGGCTTTTGTAAATGTAAACCTAAAGTGAGACTGCAACCCCTTTCCTGTGGGCTCTGGGAGGCACCCACAGAGTTCTAATGAACAGGAGGCTGAGGCTGTACCACAGTCTCCTTCCCTGAGTGAGCTGAAGACTCATTTCCTGCTGTAAGGATTTGGAGTTTAACCCCTGAATGCCACAAGCTCCCATGGATTAAGTTGTTTCATACATCTCCCCCTGTATCCTGTGCCACTGTGCCAGGACTGATGTCAGGGACAGGAAATGAGACTCTGCAGAGAATTCCCATCTGAGGAGGTGCCCAAGCACTGGGACAGCATGAAAAGAGGGAACAGACATGCCTGGCCATGTTGGCCAGGCTGCAGCCAACATTCAGCAGATATTGGAATTGAGGTAATTTACCTTGGTGTCATAGCAGCCTGCAGGCACTGGTATAGAAGGATTCAGGTCTTCCCGGCAGCAAATGGTGTTGCAAGGATTGTGTTCAGCATAAGGATCATGCTGATAGTCTGGAGTGAAATGTGGTGGGAAGAGCAGAAGAAAAGAAAAAAAGTTAGCCCCCTCACAAAAAGCTGATGCCACGTACTGGAGCCACTAAAAACTGGGTAACTGCACTCTGTCACATTGCTTTTGTGCTTCTCCCTAGGTACCAGCCACAGGACATTAAGTAGACAAGCTCCTAATTCAAGACCGTACAGCTAGTTCTGCAACCCAGGGGCACCATTGCCAACCTCTAACCACAAGTGTCTGCAATTCCACCTGATGAAATTCTACATGACAAAAGCTTGTAGAAACTTTGTCAGGAGAGAAAAGCAGAAGAGAAAGGGAAGTGGCAGGTTGGGGGGTGGGGAGAGAGAGAGGGGGAAATGAGAGCCTTTTTTTCCTGTTCTGGATTAAAATAAGTGTAAAGAAGCAAAACCTTTGAACACCCACTGCAGTAACTGCAAGCCAGGAGGGGAAGGTGGTGAGCTCAGCATCTACTCACAGCCCAGACAGGAATGACACCCCACCCTGGGAGAGGCCTCCCAAACCTCAAGTCCAGTAATCAGCAAGCTCCCTATAATTGGGAATAAAAATATAGCATCTAAAGCTATCAGTAGTCTGAGATGGGCTTAGCCAGAAGTTAATTAAGCTGGGTTTAATCCAGTTAAGGAGAGCCCTGTCAGGAAAAAACAACAGAGCATTACCTACTGTCCTGGTTCAACCCCTGCTGGCAACTAAGTACCACACAACTGCTCATCCACATCCCTCCAAGCCTCACCCCTCACGGGATGGGGAGAAGAATTGGAAAAAAGTAAAAACCGTGGGTTGAGATAACAACAGTTTCAATAAGTGAATTGTTAATAATAAAAATTAAAAAGGAGAGGGAGGGCAAGAGAAAAAAACCCTTAGAGAAAGAAGTAATTCACAATACAATTGCTCACCACCTGCTGACCAATGCAATGCCCATCCCTGAGCAGGGATCAGCCCCTTCCAGCCAATTCCCACAGTTTACACAATAAGTATGAGGTTCAATGGTATGGAATATCCCTTTGGCCACTTCAGGTCAGATGTACTGGCCTTGCTCTGCCAGCTTCTTGTGCACCTGCTTGCTGGCAGAGCATGGGAAACTGAAAAGTCCTTGACTTACCAACAACTAAAACACTGGAGTTAAAATAATAGAACTATCAACATTATTCTCATACTAAATCCAAAACACAGTACTGTATTAACCACTAAGAAAATTAACTCTATCCCATCTGTAAAAGACCATTTGCCTGAACATGGAAAAAGACCTCAAGTTTTACACTAAATTCTCTGGTCTGATCACATCTAACTGTTGCTTAGGATTTAAGGTTTTCCAGATTGACAGGCTGTAGACGTATTTAGGTGACAACAGTCCATGAGGTCTCTTGGAGTACTCTCTTGGAGTCAGAAGCTTTCTGGAAAAGTCAAATAACAAGCCCAAGGGGCATTGCTCTTGATAGAGCAACTTTAGCCCAGTTTCCTACCTCCAAAGTAAGCTTGTGTTACCTTTTTGCCTTGTGTGTACTCTGCATTTAGGACAATATAACTGATCTGTATGTGAGGCTGCAGTTTACCACTATAATCCAAGACATAAAGTAACTCTGCTTATTAAGATCAGCTCCACAGCACACAAACAGGTGTCTTACTGTTGTATCTCATGATGTACTTCATGCTTTCCAAGTTGGTCACCTTGCCCTGGTCTCGACGGAAGATTTTGGCTCTTGGAGCAAGGTCATAGGAGAAATCCATGCCATACTTGACAACGTATGATGCATACCCACTGAGATTGTAAATCTTTTCATGGAAAGGGATATTGTATGAAGGCCAGTAACCTGTCAGAGACAAACCCCAATCTGTTAATCACTTGGAAAAGCTGGATGCTCTTGCTTGTATCAGAAGAGAAAAGAATTAATTTTCCATGTTCTATTGCCTCAGCAGCATGTCGAGGAACAAAACAGAAAACTGGTTTGAACACACTAAGGCAACAGTCACTGGCATGACCAGGGCTGACTCCCAGCGTAACACCACCGGAGACTGCATACCCAGGCAACCCGCCCCCAGACTTCCAGCCTCAGGACTCATCCTGCAAAACAGCTGAGATCAGACTTGCAGGAGCCTGAACATGCAGCATGGCCACAGCCCTCTGGCAGAGGTTTCCCTGCTGAACCTTAAAGGACTGCAAAATCATTTACCTCCACAAACTTCACAGTGAGAGGCCTGAAGTCACTCTGGTTTTGCCCCCTTCCCATCTCACCAAAGCAGAACACACCATGCTGAGATGTCAGGGAGGGACTGACACACACAAACACATGGAGACCACAGACACTCGGCGTGAACAGGAGGCAGGTCAGCACACACATGCTTTGTGCAGTGGGGGTTGCACATAGCTATAAAGAAAGAGGGGGGATTGCTGCACATTTGGCAGTAGATGCCTTTGAAGGTTAAGAAGCGATCAACAGAGCTGAGCCTTGCTCTAACTTCTCCAAAAGCAATCCTGCACAAAACTGCCTGAAAGAAGACCGCTGTGGAAAGCTCTTGTAAAGAGCCAGGAGACCTTCCAGGCCAGAATCTGGGTACAGGAAGTCCTAGAATATATAAAAATAGATAACTATACCTTAACATTTAAATTTTTCTATTGTTTAGGCAGCAAGTATATAACATGAGCTAGGCCCAAGAGTAGCACACTTTCAAGTTGTCTCCAAAGCACTAACATTCCCTTGTTGTTCACTCTCAAATCACACACATCAGGATTTGGTTTAGAGATTTACTATCTGGGCACTGGTAAATGCAGGCCTCTACATATCAAAATCAGCCCAGCATAGTGTGAGGAGTCTGGTTTAAGATGCTCAAGAAAATCAACTGGAACTCACTGGGAGCAATACACACAAATACAAACTGAAGGATATGCAGACAGCATAAGCAGTGGAGCACTGTCTGAGTGGAGGCCTCACCAGCTTGGGTCCTGCCTAGGATAGGGAAGACAGGGTATTCCTGTCTGCTGGCATTTGCTTACGTGACCTAGAGCCTACCTGAAGGAAACAGGTTGTGTACAGGCTGTGTTGTAATACAGGCGTCCTCCAGAAATGAGCAACTTGCCAGCCTGTAACGACGCAGGCCCGAGGACACGGATACATCAGTTTCCAAACCAGTAAGGTTTAACTGTGATTCAAAAAGTTGCTGCTGTTTCACATGAAAGCAGTGTGTACAGATGACCTCTTTCTCCCACCTGGAAAAACTTGTTAAAATTGCTAAAACAGAGAAAGCTATTAAAGTTCTCCTCTAGCAAGAGCTCTTCTGTGTCTCAGGCTCTGCAAGACTGCAAATCCCATGCAAAGAGTGCAGCAGACATCCTAAGCCAGGCTTTACCCAAGGGCTGCTATAAGCCAGTGAAACCTAGCAGGGTGCACAGTGACAAAAAACAAGTCAAGAGAGACTGCAAAGTTGAAAGGAAGGGATGACATGAAGACACAAAAAATCCCTGAATCAAAATGCTTTCCTCCTCTGCACTTAAGAGAGCAAAAGGTATCAGCAACATGGAGAGACAGAGCAATAAGAATATTGCACATATGGCAGAAGACACTCAGATCCCAGGCTTTGCTCTGATGTGTTGATTTTGATATATTACTCATTCATCATCAAGAAAAATGAAGTGCAGCCTATTCCTGTGACCTACTCCTTCTCTTCAGACAGTGTTGCCCTCCCTCACCTCCTCTAAAGGATTTCTGAGCTTTCTTTGTCAATATACAGAAAGCACCCGGACATCTTTGCCTGGAAAGGGCAACGTAAGAGATTCCTGGTATTGAGAACTCATCTGCACTGCCCTACAAAAACAACAGAAGCCATAAAGAAAAAAAATCTTTCAATTTTCAAACCTGCATAAGGAAATGCTTCATTTTTCCCTCAGTACAATGTTTACTACAGCAATACTTGCTTTTGTTAACCTGAGATTTCAATTCTCATTCTCTGTTGTTTCTAGGTTTTTGCTTCAAAGAGACTTAAAAAGCAGATGCTGGTGGCAAACTCACCCTGACCAAACTAGCGTGCCCAAAGTGCATTATCTTGGGACACCTGCCACATGGCAATGATGGAGCTTGCCAGGGTCAGCTATTCTACAAAGGCTTTAAGCCAGCAGTGGTCTTGAGAAAGATAAACCTCCTTCACCTGAGCTGTTCCAAGCACCTGGGAACAGGGCAGGGGCCTTGATGGGACTTTCCTGGTGTCCTGCATGGCATGGAGGAGTTCAGATCTGCTGCTTACAGCAGCTGAGGTCTCCAAAACTGCACTTTGGCAGGGCTTAGCTCACCCTGTGCATTGAAGGCTGTCCTCCTAATGTTTGAATTCCCAGAGACTGACTGCTGTATTATCCAGTATGCACAAGGTACACTTAGATATCTGGGAAAAGACATACTGTAGGTATGAAGTGTAACTTCTGTAGGTAATGTGTAACTACTAATACATGCTGCCACCTTTGAGAACAGAGCAGCTACAACATCTCTGAGGGAAGAAATGGTCACTGTGTGCCCAAGCCCAGGAGTTGGGCTGAGTCCTACAGAGAATGCTACACAGCTGCTCCAAAATCATTGCTGAAAAGGAACTCAAGGTATCTGCCAAGCCTGGCCTCTCTGCACAGGTATAGCACTGCCATGCTGGGGCTGCAATGTTTCCAGTGCCAGAGCTAGAGGGTCTCTGTCAGCTTCTTTGTCTGCATCCCATGCACAACACAGCATTGAGAAGCCCAAGGTAAAGGAAGCCAAAAGAAACTGACAATGTGGCAATGCCTGGAATAAGCCAGAACTTTCCAAGAAGCTAGACACAAGGAAAAATTTCAAAGAGAACCAAGCCCAGCTGCTAACATAGACAAATTTCCCATCATTTTGATGATGAGCAATTCATCAATTTATCCCCTCAGCATGTGATTAGGGGAAGGAGCACAAAGCACCAGACACACTTAAGGTTCAGGCTTTTTGTTGATGTTGTAAGTGTCTAGTAAACACTTGAAATGAAACCTGACAGTGAATGTTCTGATTGACCAAGATTTTTGTTTGTTTTCCGTCAAGTTCTTGCTAGTCTTGCTAGGGAATTAAAGAACCTTTTAAAAAGCAAATATTTATCAGAAAACAGAGATCCAGAAAAGTTCAGGAGATTAATTTAACGTAGAACTTCTTTGGTATTCAAAGATTCATCTTCTTGCAGGGTGACCCACTCAACAATCATTTTGAGTAGCCCACAGCATCACAGTTATTTAGTACTGCCCCAAACAGATCTCACATATTCCCTCATTGGTCTCTACAAAAGGGCAAAATAATACCAGAAAAAAGGCAAGGATGCAGATAAGCAAAGAGATAAAGTCTATTTTTCCCTCCTCTGCTTCTAGGAGACACAGATGTTTACTGCATTGCTGCCACAGCATACCAGATAAATGAACAGATTGCAATTCACCCAGATGCAGAGGAATGCTCACACAAAGCTGAGGGTTGCTCACACTAAGCTTCCTTACTTTAAACTCAGGACTGGTGTTCAACAAACCCTTCCCTGGTACAAAACACAATTCTCAGTCGGCATGAAGAGATGGTTTTCCTAAGCCAATAACTACTATAGGAGCTATTACCTTTCCGGAGAACATTTGTTTGATCAGAATACTCCACAAGGGTTGGGATCTGCTCGACAATGTACAATGCACCCTCATCAAGGCTCCTCTGCAGCTTGACCTTTTTCAGGTCTAGAACCATGTACTGATTGTTGTAGGTTCCTGGGTACGAGAACAGAGAGAGTTACATGTCCTGCCAAGGGAAGGAAACAAGCACAAGAGGTAGAAGGAACACATCTTTTTTCCTAAGATGCATATACAGGTGTACTTACCAGAGTTGCACTTGGAGAAGGTCTCTGCCCAAGTTTTGCCATCATTTGCCATCATGTTGGCAATGCGGACCCTCTGCCAAGCTAGCAAGGATTCAGGCACCACTTGCTTAATGAGGGTTTCATTATAAACACTGTTGGTAGTCTGCAACATTACCAAGCCGCTGCCCAGTATGTAAAAGTCATCCAGGGACACCAAAAAGCCTTAAAAAGCAGTAACACAAAACCTGTTATCTTTGTGAACCTTTGACATACTCATAAAACAAAACAGAGATAAGTGATGAGGATATGGATGAGTCCATGCGTGTGTGTGTGAACTGAAACTGTACAAAGATTAAAGATGAGGTAGTAACTTCTGCAAGGGCTTTGGGCCCACCTGTCAACACAGTTTGAAATGAGAAACTGTCACGATTTCAAGACACCTAATTCTTTGTCTAAAACATTTGCTTTGTGTTTGTATGCCAAGCCTGGAAGCTTCTCCATAAGTCAACCTATGCCTTATGCTAAGGATTACATACCCTAAATGCCTGTCAAGTGTTTGTTTCTAACAAAGAAGTGAACTAAAAAAATATAAAAATTCATCAATGAAAACCAAAGCAAAGTACAAACTCCACAAAAACACTTTCATCAACCAGTATCAGTTTTAGATTTTTACTCTGTAAAGACAACATAAATTCATTTAATTAATTTGAATTAATCCCCTTAATTAACTCCTTCTGTATTAAATCAAGCAGAAAAATCTTCCTTCTAGTTTAATCTTTTCCTAAGTATTCTTAAAAGCATCTCAAGACACGGGCATCTCTTAAATCATAAACCACATCCTGTATATGAGGAGAAGCTCTACCTACTCATCTTCCTGACATATTGTCACGGGGGTTTTTTATTCCTGCCAGCTCTGCAAAGTCAATACAGTGATGGATCTGTGGGCAGGATTGCCTTCCAGGTTACATGCCAACAGAAGTGCTAGGTCCAGTTGCAAACCCTTTGCCAGGAGGTGGCATACAGAGCTGCAAAGGTCAGCTATATGCCTTGGATAGTATGGGGATTACTTGCACAGCAGAAATAACTTGGCCTTTAGATTACTCAGCAGAGACATGGCTGCCAGGCTGGGGAAGAAAGGTTGTTAACCAAGCTGGTCATGGGGAAGTCATACAGAGCCTAAACTCTTGTTAAGAAGTTTTTAATAGCATCCATCTTCAAAGAGTACAAAATGCTAAAATGCTGTGTTACACCATAGTAGTTGAGCTCCTCTATGAAATCTTCCACAGCAAACTTTATTAACACAATCTGCAAAGGTCACCAACCTATGACAGCAAGTGAGACAACCCAGCTTTGCCTCCTACTCCTGGGCTTTTATCAAAAGGCAGACCACCTTCAAGCAAAAGTAATCTTTAAGGGCTCTAGTTCAGCAAAATTTCTTTAAAGAAGCAAGTTCTCAAATTAGAACAGATCCAGGAACATACACTGTGTGGACATCTGTTCTCTAAAAAAATATCAGTATAGAATAGACTGAGCACCCTGGCATCTGGTATTACTCATGGAGAGAGAGGCAGTACATTATGTACATTATCAGCAGAGATCTCCCTCAAATAAGTAAGGAAATGAGAAACATCCTAAACTTGGCTCTGCCAGTCTATTTTATACACAGACTTGGGATACTCTAGCAATAATAACCTGCTGCATAACAAGTCAAGTGGTGCTTGCCCAAACACAGGCAGTAATTGAAATTGTTGAAACAATTGTGATGTGAATTGAGCATCAATTCCTGTGGATGACAATGCCCAGTGTCCTACTTCAAAACAAACTAAGTAATTTCTCTCTTCAATTTCAATCAACAGCTGAGATAGAACAGAAAAACTTGACTCAAAACAAGTGCTAACACAAGGAAAGATGCTGAATGAACTGAAGGTTGAACTCTGTAATTCAAATAAACTGCAAAGCTCAGCTAAACTGAAAAGAAGGGGATTTCCTTCTGGGCCTTAGTATTTACCAAGTTTTATCCTGAAATGTTTTATAACACAACATGCCCTCCATGATACACCATTACTAACTTAATAATTCCAAGATGGCATTTTGATTTAAGGCATAGGCACTGAATCAACTGAAACAAAGGGAAGCTAAAACACAAGCAACAGGTTACCCATGGTAAAGACATCCAGAAAAATAAAACCTGGGTAGAGAAGTCTAGAGATATCAGCAGATGTTTGATGTCCTCTTGAGCCATTCTTCTAAGTGTGTATGAGAATCTGTGGTATATGAAGGTGTTATCTCACTGTATGCTTCTTCTATATTTTTCCTGTAAAACCATCTCTGCAAACCCACTTCCCATTTCTGTTAGGAACACTCAATCAAATTTGTTTTGTTTCATTGTTTTTGGGGTTTTTTTTAACCCCTCCCTCCAATGAACCTGACAACTCTACAGAGAAACAAGCAAAAGTACTTCTGATTGCATATTCTGGATCTGATCCATTTAGATTCCATTTCCAAATGCCACTGGAAAACGGAAGTTTCCAGAACATGGAGTTTCACTCACCATGACATTAATCAGCTAAGCAAAGCACAGAAAGTCAGCACATCAAAGAGCATGTGGGTGGCAGCATGTTCTGGGGTACTATTGTTCTGAAAGAGGTAGACTGCTGCTTTCTGAACCACACAGCATCAGCTTTTTTGATGTTTTAAAAGGTCACTGTGCTCTTTCAAGTGTAGCAAGGGTCAGCTTTACAGGCTGGAAGTCAAAGCTATGAGGTCTAGCCCATCTCTCAGGGCTGGGAGTAGCTCCTAGCTGAGATGCCCAATGCTCTAGTGTATAAACACACTTGAATATGGGAACATAAAGGTATTCTCTGGATTAGCAGAAAATCAGCAGCTGCTTCTCATGTCAAGACTGAACACCCATCAGCTGCCTCCCTTCCACTTGCACACCTCTTCTAGGCACTAAGAAATGGCACACACCACACTACAGCTCTGGTCTCATCTCCAAAGCTCACCACACCTTCCTTTGCTTCCCTCCAGGTTTTAAACAGATGCTGGAGGAAGCAGGAAATGGTCTGGGAATATCTCATGAGCAGGGTAGTCCTGAGAACAAAGGCTACCATCTTTTCCATGGTTTGTTCCTCCCAGCTCTTCCTCAAGCTGTGGGGAAGGATTATGCTGCATTAACACCAGATTGCTTCAAAGCAAGGGACACAAACTACCTCTCTCTCCTGCCTTAGCATGGATAGATAGATAGATAGATAGATAGATAGATAGATAGATAGATAGACAGATATGTATATGACGTGTATAGTCACCCATCAAGACAACCTGTGCCATCTTACTCCCACATCACCACCTAGCTCAACCCAGAAAGATCCCAATAATGGACCAGAGGAGGAGAGGTGGAAGTAAAAGTCTTCAACTGTTCTTCTTCAGCTGTTTTGTTTAAGCTGCTAAAATCAAATTAACATACTTTAAAAGATCGTGTCTCAGCACAGAGAAGGTAGTTCACTATCTAAACCAGAGTGCTTAGTCAAAATGGCACATTCCTGCTTTTAAATGGAGTCCAAAAGAGCTCCATCCAAATGGATGAAAATCCTGGAAGCTGCAACCCCCTGCTATCCAAAGAAAATCATAAATTTTATCAGTTAGTTTGGCTCATTTCTTTGAATGCCTCAATGGGCAGTGTAAAGAACTGACCAGAGGTGAGGAGGGAAAGGGGCACAGAGGGAGGAGAAGTGCAGGTTCCTGTCTGATCCACCACTGGATATGTGGCACAAAACATAGAACCTACCTTGTCTCTATCACTTCCTTACTCCCTCACAGGAGCACAGCTTCATTCAACATTTGTGAGGAACAGTAACATTCTCTGTACAATTTCAGTTCTCTCTGCTATGCATTGATTCACAAGCCACAGGAAGTACTCGTGTCCAGAGCTTGAAGAAGACAATGAAGCTCAAGCTTTCAGTTCAGAGACATTCCTCCTTTCCAAAGGTTCACAGAACTGTCTTACGTGCAGCTTTGCAGACAAAGACTATGAGCAGAGTTCAAGTGAGAATTCAGGTGAGTTAGTGTGGAAATGAGCAGCAAGTACAGAAATCATTCTGCAAAAACAGAGATTACAACTCCCATTAATTCCCACTTGACTGTGCCTCTGCAGGACTACTGCTGCTCTGAAAGGGAGGAAGCAGCAGAGAAGATATGCTGTTAACAATGGACATTTGAACTTGGTGGCAGAACACTGGTAACTGCTGGGGAAGCTGGGATGGACTCTAACTCCTGCCTGTCCTCCTACCTGCTCACTCACAACATGAGCGAAGAAGTGCAAGGCCCTCCAGCTGCACCACAATGCACACCCTAACACAAATAATGGTTAGTCAGTAGCCTCAGAACCTCTAAACTGAGTCACAGCTAATACTAATTTTTGCAGTCTAGTAGCCTGTCTTTTGAAATTCAGTAAATAAAGAAATAATATGGATAATTTTATTCTGTGACCCCAGGAGAAATCATGGATTTGGCATATTCCTTCTCAGAAGACAAATGATCCCTTAACATTTTCTGACACACCTTTTGGACAGCAGCATAGCTTTACTTTATATCCTATCTTACTGGATGACAACAATCTTTGAATAACCCAGTTAAGTGTCACTGAAGGCCTAGAAGGGCACCTGTCTTTTAGTGCTCTCTGTTTCCTCCAGAAGTTAAAAGTTCTATGTCCATAGGATCATGTTACTATTCAGGTGAGATTACTAGGTAGGCCTTTCTTACTGGTTCTTATGTCTATCAGGACAGAGACTAAAAGCCAGAACATTTATGCAAGTAGACATTACAATTGTCAGGCTGAACCATGGCCAGGAGCTGCAGATTCCAGAGTCAGATGCTCTGAAAATATCTCTCATCATAACATGGAGCAGAGGAATTTGGCAGTTGCCTCCTTCCTACGTGATGTCCCTGGAGCATTATTAGGCCAGTGCTTACTCATGCCATGGAAAACTGCAGCTCTGTGAACTACACCCACAGCTAATGCAATTTGCTGCAGCCAATGGACCATGCTTGCCTAGTGGTTGTGATAGCACGGTGCAATCAGTGAGCACCCTGTGCATACCACAGGCCTCTCTAACTTCACTGTAGCCATGGGAACTATGCTTTGCAACAGCTCTCACTCATCTTGTTGGTAGAAGTACACCTTCCCACACCACTATGCCAGAGTCCACATGGCAATAGGAGGCTTTAAAATCAGCCACCTCTGCAGACCTCAGCCCTCTCAGGGAAGCACACTGGGATTTTGTATACCAATGAACAGACCCCCAACTGTCGACCTGATTTTTTAAGATTTTCTAAGCCTTCTGATGTTTACATTCTTGTAGCAAACTTTCTCACACACTTCCTGTAAATAACTTATTGTTTTGCATTCTTTTATGGAAGAAGAGAAATTTGATGGACCATAGGTTTGTCCAGTGTCATTGGAGAGGTGGCACTTTCCCCCTCCAATCCACTGTCACTTTTGGAAAACTGTAAGTGTTGGAGTCAGAAAACAAACTTTCCCTTTTCTTCACCTTGAGAGCAGCAGTGTATGCGCTTGTGTTGTTTCGTGTCCTATACTGAAACCAACCATTTCAGCAAAGCAGTAGCTGATTTTCAGGTATCCTGCCACACACTATGCTTTGCCAGTCTCATAAAACCATAATATTTTTATTTCCTTATACAAAGAATCCACAAAAGGGGACAACTGAAAGACATCACCACAGGCATCCACTAAAATTAAAATAATAAATGCTCTGTGTGGCTGATCATGATCCCCAATTTTGAATCTGCAGCACAATGCAGCATACAACAGTTGCTAAACAGAGCCACATTCTTGTCAAGGGTAGGCTATCATCAGTATTTCAGCTGAGAGATATGAGAGCCAGAATAACCTCATGAACATTCACGTGATGAACAGAGCTCAGAAACCTTTGCTTTCAACCAAATTACACAGGCTTGGCAAAATTCCTTGCAACAAGCAAGTGAAATTCCTCCAAGGCAATCACAGATAACCCAAGCTCTTCAAAGGCTGTGCACTCAAGAGACATTCAAACTACCCCTACTCCCTTCCTCAAATTAAAAATCTCAGTTGTCAGAAAATGCTGCATTCCTGAGGAGGGTCAGACCCTCACAGAAAAAGTCTTTTTTCCAATGTGAAATGACTGCAACTGCTTTTCAAAACATTCTCCCAGTCGCAGTCTCAGGAGACCCTGCCATGAAGAACCCTTGCCCTTACAGTAAAGCACCATTACTCCACAAAGCACATTTTGAAATCATTAGCCAACAAAATTTCACGAGAATGAGAGACTCTGCTATGGTACTTACTTCATTTAAAATGTTTTATGAAAATTTTTGACTGTTTAGGTATTTTGAACTTGAAATTTCACCTCTAAAACTTTACGCAATGTCAGCTCTAAGAGGGAGTTACAGATTTGCTTCGGTTTTTCACACTCCCATTTCTTGGTGCTATTTGGTACTACCAAGAGCACATATTATGCTCCTCAAACATTACTTGCTGGCAATTTCTAACATTTGGCCTAATCTTCCCAAAAGAATATTTTTCTAAATATTTTGGCTGGCTATATTACTAACGTACCAAATAAGCATTAAAACATACTCTCTTCTGCAACAGCTTATAGAGAAGGTGGAAAAGGAAGATGTGGGGGGAAAGGGAAAAAAACCCAAAAAACAACAAAACAACTGAAGGCTCCTGAACCCAAGACCAAAGAAGCCGATACACTTTCAAACAGCAAGTGTTTGATACTCAGTAATAGTCCCATTGCAGTAGGAGTCACGTCACAGTGGTAAACAGAAGCACTCAAAATTGTTGTTACCAAACATGCAAATGCTACAGGCATGGTGAAGAGTTCAGCACTTGAGATGACTGCAGACTACACAAGCAGAATTCAAAGCAGCATGTTTGTGCCAGAGGTAAAATATTTAACCAGTACTATTCAGAACACTAAAGGTGATTAATCAACAACAAAAGACAATGACAACAATATCATGTTCAAGACAGAAAATTCAAGCTGGCATTTTGTTCTCTTGGTGGCTATAAGTTCTAAGGTGGATTGAAGCCAGTGCTTGTTGAGTTACCATCCTTTTCACAGCCAGGACAGCTACAAGACAGTAAGGTGGTCCATGCTAAATTGAATATCTACATATTTTTGGTTTTCTTGACTTTACCTGGGTAACTACTGAATGAGACACGGCCGGTGCTGGTATATGGATCAACTATATTGAAGTTCCAATGCTTATATATTCTCAGTGTGGCTGCATAAGTAAACCAGCTGGAATGGGCAAAATATATATTCTCATATCCTGGTAGAACCTGGAAAACAGAAGCAGAAAGATTAATAATTTCAGACCTCATGATATTCTGCATGTTTTCTACTTGATAGAAACTGGGAGAACTACTTGTTTTAAGTAGTTTGATTAATTGCATTATTGAAGAAAGAGCAGATTCTTGTGCTTTTAGCTGTGTACTAAATGAAATTTCTGAAACCTATAGAAACAATTCTTGCCTATGTGTTGTTTTCAAAATAAAACATCGTGGGGTTATTTGGGATACCTGCATCACATGGTATAGGTTTTCCTCCAGTTTCATTTGGCATATTTCTATTCACACATTCAAATCACATATTTTCAAACATATCTGACATCAATTTAAAACATGCCATTTCTGTGAGAATTTCTCTGGCTCATTTTGAAGTGAAGTACAGAAAGAAATGCAAGTAAATTTAATTTGAAAAGGTAAATATATATGTTGATAGTACATATATTCAAAATACTTCCCTGGTTCTACGATTTGTTGTTAGCTCAGAAACCTCTTACTGTAAGCAAATACTTTAGTTCACGTTTCTCACTTTAAGGTGAATATTGTTGCTCTGCGATACATTGACTCTCTGGATGCTGATTAAATCTTCTTAACAATTTTAACTGAAAAATGTAATTGCCAACATGATGCATCAGTCACTTATATTAAAACTGTGGGGTTTTTTTCTGTCATCGCTCCTACTGAAAAGCCATTCAAAGGTATCACTGTTAACAGAAAACATCAGCCACTTGCATCCATTTGTTTTTATGTTAACACTACCCTTTAGTTTAAATAATCCTTTTTTCCCCTGCTTATTTGCCCAATGCATTTGTAGTCACCCACAACATCCCTTTTCAGACTTCACTTCTCTAGGTGAATGAATTATTCTCATTTAGTCTTCCCTCCCTGGTAGTTCCTCATTCCCTAGCAGTTCTAGCAGCTTTTCAACATCCATCTCTGTGGTTTTAGTTTGGTCTTTTCCCTCCCCTTGAACACAAGTGAGAAAAACTGGACTCAAAATCCTATAGAGGCACAAATGACAACTGTATATACGCATCTTGATCACTGACAGAAATCTCTTTATGCACATGCAACATGAACAGGGAAGACCCCAGAAATGCAGACTCATGACACTGCAAACCAACACAGTCACTGGAGATTAAGTTCTGGTGCTCACCTTGATCAGTGCAGAGCAGTGTCCCATGTCCCACTGGTATCTCCCATGGCCTCCTGAATCCACATTGCATTGTCCACCTCGTAGAGAATAATCAAACAATGCAGGAATAAGGTCCAACAGGTCTCCAACTGCATTCAGAAACTGGACATCAAAGTTGCTCAGTGGCTGAATAAAGGAGAAGATGACAAAAAAACACTTTGAGACAGAAAAACATCAAGACAGCCTCAGTGGTTAGAATTTTTCTTTTGCTCCAGAAGGAAGCTCTCGTATGGTCTATGAAACGCCTACTGACAAGGCCCAGATGCTCACACTCACTATGGCACCAGGCACTGAGGAAGCTTTCAGGACCTGGCCCTTGTAAGTGGCATTACCAATGCTACAATTTCTGAGGCAAAAAGGAAGATGTAACTGTAACTCAAGAAACCTGAGTGTGTGTTTGCAAGCAGCATGTCAATCAGTCTGTTATGGATTTACTGAGATAAAATTTAATTTTTTTGTTTATCTAGATGTCTTTGAAGTGTCTTCCACTAATGGTCTTGGGAGCTCTCAGACTTCTATAAACACTGCCATTTAAGACATCCTCAGGACTGAGGAGGAAGAAACAAATGAGGGGAAAAATGATAATAAATACCTATCAAATAGCTGAATAAGGAAAGTCAGTCAAAAGACACTCTGCTATGTGCTTTAGAAAACTCCTTATGGTTGGAGGTAGCCAGGGTTAACAGGGTTAACTACACACAGCTGGTTGTGCAACATGCTCTTTAGAACCTCCTCTTACTTTGCCTCTTCAAAAATAAGAGCTTAATAGCGGTTTAACCTCAACCTTCAAATACCGTGTTCTAAATCTTTCCTGTTCTTGCTTTCACCATGCCTTTTGTTAAGGCAAGGCTTAAGAAAAAAGTCAGAACACACATCACTGTGGTGCTGTGAACAGTTATTTTATAATGCCACATAATCATTTAGCAAAGAAGCACATTACTTGCAATATAAATCACTGTTACTAAACCATATAGCTGACCTCTCTACAAACCCCAGTAAAGGGGGACAAGGAAAAATGAAACAGCATCAAATTCATTTACTTTTTATTCAGAATAAACGTATTCTGAATATTTTTTATATTGAATGTAATATATTAAATATAAAAATATTGAATTCTGAATTCTGTGTTATCCATCTGCTGCTTCGGCAGAAAGAATAACCAACAGGAAAACCAGAAATCATGTAAACTCCAGTCCATGCATCCCATAGGAAGGAATGAGACCATCCCACAATGTTTACAGACAAGAGAAATAAGCCATTCTGACAATTAAAACCATTCGTGGCAGAAAGCCCCAACAGCAGCTATAGTTTGAGGGAGAAATCCAAAACAAACTTTCATGTGTTACATCGCTTTAGTTCATCATGGTTTTGCTGTAAGGATCCAAACAAGGGAGCAACATCAAGAGATGTGTCTTTGGATGGTTTAAGCAACTTAGAGGCATGAATCAGTTACAAACCAGTCACAACTTCTACTTCATTGGAATCCATGTAGAGAGACTTGGCACTGTTTAAGCACCATTTTCCCCTATCCAGCTGCACTGAAAACCCACCACACAATAAGAAAAGGCCATTTTCCAATGTCTGATTCACAAAGGCATCACTGTACAGTACCACCAGGAACGGAGCAAACTGGCTTGCATGAGATTGCTCCAGCAATCAAGATATTTTAATTGTACTTGACATCCATTTGCTACCACTTCATATTCTCCTTCATAAAAGCTGCTTTCACTGTAATATCTACAGGTAGCTACATTGATACTGCTACAGCAATGGTCAGAATTGCCTGTGTATTTTTAAAAAGTTTCACATTTCTGTGCTTTCTTACCATCACTACAAATTAAAACTTCTGTAACTATTAGGAAGTCCATTCAAATTAGAACAAAAGTGCCAAGCAATGAAGCTTTCAGAACAATAGGCACAGAAAGGTGCCCAGAGAGCAGGAGGAAAGACCCACTCAAAGCACAGGTTATGCAAATTCCTAAGGCACTGGGTGAGATTAGGCTGCCAGCTGCCAAAGCCAGCCAAAATATCAGAGATGCAAAAGAGGACTAGGTTGTTGAGCATCCCCTAGAGTTCTGTTTTCATCTCCCTTTTGAGGGTCAAGCAAATTTTGTTCTAGTTTATTTCCAAAAATTCATTACTCTCCTTGAATAAACCTGGTTTTGTGTTTAAGACTGTCTCATGTGACATCACATAAGCACTGTGCTCCTCTGGAGTCTCAGTAAAACAATGCATTCAAACAGAAGACACAAGAATCTGCACTGCAGACCCCATCAGGAGTGGTCTTAAGCATCTGCCACAACACAGCTGAGAGTCCCAGTTTTGGAAAAACTACTGCTGATTTCCAGGATATATGAAGAAATCTTCTCTATGAGGAGTTAATCAGTGTCCACTAGCAAGAATTAGACCCAAAAAACTGCATCATAACAATGCATGATAGAGGGCATATTACAATTTTTTGTAATCACTTTTTCCCATCTCATTCAGCAATGTCAGAAAAACTCCTTATAAACATTATTTAGATCCTGAAGAAGAATGAATGAACTAAACTGACAAGCAGAGAGGTGGTAAAGCCACATCAAAAGTCCTTTTGCTAGATTGTCTGTCTCCTCTAGGGTGCTGTCCTGAATAGCAAAACAAAAAATCAATTTGAGTTTGAGTTACATCCAAGGAAGGCAGAAATAAACTTACAAAGGGCAGCAGAAAGGAGAGAACCAGCCCTAAAGGCTTGGTTACATGGGACATTAAAATAAGCAAGTTATTCTGTAACAATTGTTTTCCAGTACCTTGTCAAGCCTGAGCACTTTGAGTAGAAAATAAGGAAGTATAAATAGAGATCTATCCTGGAGTCATTCTAGCATTTAAAACTCTGACACCTCCTTATTCAAGAGTAATATCCCTGCATAGACAAGCCCAAGATGAATCACAGTGTTGGAAGAGCATTAGGCAGATGAAAAGGCTTTATGTTCTTTCAGTGCCCCTCCCTCAGAAATTGTCCTGACAAAAGGGTTGGGTTTGTTTACTGGATATAAAATGTTGCTAAACCAGATGGAATAATGTAACATTTTAACATAGAGATGTATTCAAATTTTGACATCACTCTTAATGATACTTGTAAATATCAAATTCAAAATACAGAAGTTTGCAATGTACATTGCCTTCATGCAGGTCTTAATGGAAGAATCTACCTAAAATAGTCCTCAGGACTCCAAGCAACAAAAACCCAAAGTTTAGAACAAAACAATACAAAGCATTTCCTTCAGAAAGAATAAAAAATATATATACTAGTGCTACTACCAAATCATTCAAAGCCCAGATTTTCTTTCTGCAGTAAGGCTCAGTTACTTGTGGCAGACACAATGGTTCTACGATATTCAAATAAAGCAATCTGAATTTTAGGGGAGAGCAGAAAACCAGAACATTTCAGAGTTACTTGTGTGCACACAACCCAGCTCTCACTTAAGAAGTATCTGGCTCTGGTTTCAAACTACCATGCATAGTACCAGAAAACAGAATTAAAAAATTAAAAGCAGATTAGTTATGCAACAGCTTGTTTTCATTCTCCTGAAAAGGAAATAGTTCTATAAAACTCTGCCCAATGCCCAGTGTTACAATTCACAGACTCCATATACACAGTTGCTTTTCTTCATCCCCTTTATCTCTTTTAGCATATCCATGTCAACCAAACACCTTCCCAGGGCTCAGGAGACCATCCTGTCTATGTCTGAACAGTCATGCTGCAGGGAAACATAAGAACCTTGAAACTATCTCCTCTTCCCCTTCTCTTTCTCACGTCTCTGGTATTTTGGGAGTTAAGGGGAAAACCTTCCTAGCCTTTCTTCTACAGCATTTACTCTTATATAAGCTTAAGCCAGTGGGAACAATTCTCCTCTACATATGCAGAATAATATGTTGAATTTAGAAGTACACAGAGCTTTCCCAACAGCAAGTAGAACATCAGAACATCAGGCAACAAAATACAGACTGTCATATGTTGAGTTTTGGTTTGGTTTGTTTGGGGTTTAGGGGGTTTCTTTTGTTTTGTTTGAGTGTGGGTAAAAAAAAAAGGAAAATAAAAATGCCCCAATTCATACAAGAGGTATTTTTTAATATTTCTGATGTTCATCACCACCATGAATTCAAACTATTGAACTACTAGACATCAAAAGATAGACTTGTTCCTGATGATGATAATTCAAAGACAATAAACACATGGAAAGGATTCTTTTATTAATGAAATAAAATAGTATCTACTAAAGGAAAGAGGTAAGAAGAGACTTCCAAAGCACTGAGGAAAATGTGCTATAGGAATTAGATTTGATTTTTAAAACATACAGAATTTGTTACAGAGACTTTCATTATGAAATTTCTTTGATTGTTTTATTTTGAGAATTGAGTAACAGAAAAGTATTTGTTACTGGAGTTGTTGTCCAAAAAAAGCCAAAACCAAAACAATTGGGTTAATAGAACTAAAGTACAATACTTAAGAAAAAAAGTAATCTACTAGGTAAATTTATTTGCACTTTGGATGGTAGATTTCTTTAATCACAAGGAATAAGGAAGATACTGGTGGTGTTTTTGCTTGTTTGGTTGGTTTGTGAGTTTAGTTGGGACTTTTAAGTGCCAACAGTTTACAGAAGCCGAGCTGATTCTCAGATAAATGGATGTGCCAAATCTAGAATACCAGCCAGAAGCTTTGCAGCTGCACCTGTTTTTATTGCCCATGTAAACTCACAGCAACAGCCTTCAAGGTCTGTTTCCTTGGACATCCTAAGGACATCCTAACAGCAATAAATATGCACACACAGTGGCAGCCTAATCTCTCAAAAGTATACTTGAAAAGTATCATGGTGTCCAACAAAATGAACTCCCTGTACTTTTACAGAATATTTTACAGAATGTCAGGTATCATTCTGATGCCAAGAAAACCTAAGGACCTGGCTGCAAGAGCAGCTGTCCAAAATGTACTCAAAGAGAAGGACTGACGTTAACTTAGTGGCTGTGGCAAAGAGAGGAAACAGCAGCACCATTTCAAGTAAGAAATACATACACAGTGAACATTTTTTGCTTTGAATAAAAGTATATGCATCTCAACATAGGTGATAAAGTCCAAAGCTAAAATTGTGCCTGGCATGGAAAAGAGTCAAAATAAATCCCACCAATTGCTGCAAGTATGTCCAGGAAAAGAAAAAATATTTCATGCATATAATTGAAGAATGGAGGACACATATATTTCAGCCTGAACCACACATCTGAACTTTCACCAAATGCACCATTCTTATATAGACATGGTAGTGAGATCTCTAAAGAGAGGATAAAAATTATTCAAACACTTCAGAGGTCAGTGCTTTTTAGTGCATAGTTAAATAAGCAAGCATCAGGGAACACACTTTACAGGCAGGACATGCCTATCACAAAGAAGTAACTCAGACACAAACCAGCACTTTTCCCTTCTCCTCACATGAATCTAAAAGATTCTAAAGCAGCAAAAAAGCCAAAAACCTGATGAGCTTGACAGGGCTCTTCATATACAGGAGTTATGAAAGGATATTAATGTGTTCTTTTCCTAGAAAGTCAACGTTTCTAGTGTTTTCTCCTACAAACTCAGGTCCCTCAGGATGGATTATTATTACAAACACCTTTTTTTTTTTTCCAGTTTGAGCTGGCTTCCCATCCATGAAAGCCCCAGTGTGACTTCTATGGAAGAAAGATGTACATTTTACTAAAATGCAATTGTTTACAATTCAGAACTCCCAACTTCTCAAAATTCTTGGTATGATTAACCTAGGTAAGAAGGTCAACTACAATTACTCAAGTCCTTCTTCTCACACTGAAAAACCTATTAGATATTAGACTTTAGGACAGCATTATAATTGCCATATCTCTACTGGAGTTAAAGGAGCTCTGCTATTATATACAAACTGATGATCTGGAATTCAATTCTAATTGAAATTAAAGAAAAACAAATGACGAAAAAACATCAAAAAACCCAACTAAACCACCACCCAACAAAACCCCAAAATCTATCCCTTCTGACTTGCCACAACACAGACCACATCTTTTGTAACCATATATTTTTGAGACTTAAAAGACAGAAAAGGAGAAGTAATTCAGTAAAGTAAAACATACTCCAAGATAGAAAGGCTTTTAGGATTTGAAATCTAATGCTTGGAAAAAAGAACGAAAGCTTTAATTCATGCTGTTGCAGGTATACCTAAAGGGTCATTTGCTTAATAACAATTGTAAAGTGACAGCAACAAGCACTTTAGAAATGTCAGTCCTTCAAACATTCACATGGATACAAAAGCCACCCCCAACTTAATCATCCCATGAGTGCTCAGGGTTCCAAGCCCCTTGTGAGGAATCTGTGGTTACATGGGCCAAGGGCTCAGTCGCATTATCTACACTGAACAGCCACTAAAGATTTTGCAGAATGACATGCAGAATACATACTTGCCACTAAGTAGCCTATTTCTGGTTTTTATTTTTAAAAAGTGGATCCCCTTCTCCCATGTTTGTCCACTGACATCCCAGCCCCAGCTACTAAAAAAGACGTGCAGTAGTCTTACTGTTAGTTTATGTAGTTTAGCCCACTCGAGGGCTCCCATGTACAGACCATCCAACTGTTCAATAATATAGCCAGCATGCCTCCAAAATGGGTCATCCTTATTATTTCTGATTTGTTGTCTTGTCCATTGATCTTGCTTCCTGCAGAGGAACAAACAGGTTGGGGTTTTCTTGGGTTGTTTTAGAGTATAATTGATAATGCAGGGAAGGGACAAATACATTATGACCCAGATGGTCCAGTCTTACTCAAGATCTGAGGCAAATCACGCTTTGGAAATCCTGCAGATATAAGCATTATATCTTCCAAGTGTAAACGTTCAGACTTAAGCAAAATACCCTACAATCATGTGCCTCTACCAGATTTTAGTGTCAAAGAAGGAATTGAACTTTGTGTTTGTGGAGGATTTTGCTATAGCAGATTTAGTCAGTAAATGGAAACAAGTGTTTGATAGGTTGGATGAAACATTCCCTTTTAAATGTCTGTTTAAGAATAGACTGACATTTGAAGGGCCTCCTTCTCTCCCCCGGGTTCAAGTGCAATGAACCTTTCTGAGCTTTCTGCTGGTGGTGCTCAAACATTTCCTGAGAACCCTGTCTTTGCTCCTCCTGAGTAACAGGTGGGAGGCCAAACAATTGTACCCTGTGCCAGATCCAGTCAAGAGCCAAATCACTCAGGTTTAGGGCATGAGGCAACACAAGCTGAACAGACCCTAGGGCAAGAGCCATCAACATTGTAAGGATCTCTCAGAATTCTCTCTTTTGCTGTGCAAAAAGAGCCACAAAAGAACCCCAGGAAATGAGAATCAGATGCTAGCCTCTTCCATCCTCTTGTATCTATCCATCCAGCACTATGTAAAGTAGCAAATTGAGGGGACAAACCTGTAAAGGAAGCAAACTCTTCCAGCAGCATATGGTGAGAAAACCAACCAAAGTTAGCTTTCTAGAAACGACAAGATGCAAGAAGTATGTCCAAGGAAATAGGGATATGGTCAGAGCATCTAGGGCTAAGGACTTCCAAGACAACACAGCAATCCATATTACAAAACTGCTATAAAGTAAAGCAGTGATGCAGGAGTTGAGGAAAGAGGCAATAGAAAAGCAATACAAGGCCACCTAGTATTGTCCCCCTTCATCCAACAATGCATCTTGGAGAATACAGCTGCTTTGCCGTATCATTCTAGGAAAAAACACATATACACTGATACAGCAGCTATCCCATTTTTCTCATAAGGAGGAGCACAGCAATGCTGAAAAATGATAGCAAGGGAGCACTAAGAATCTTTGTTCTATGTTTTAGATAAGCTAAAACTAATTAACTTAATATATGCACACCAATAACAGTCAGATATTCAACCTTTTATGGAAAGGGCAAGACATATTTTCCAAATATGGAAAAATTAGTCCCCAAAAGTGACCATTTCACACAAGTATTTGTAATGGAATAAAAACACAAGCCTAATGAGATTAAAATAATTGGTAATCATAGCTGAGTTTCCCAGTACCTGGCCTGGTTCTTCTCCTATTGTAGTTTCCCCACCAGTGTAGCTGCATTATTCGAGCAGCTACACTTTTTTTTTACTTTTGATTTTTTACAATTAAAGTGAAAAGTGAATCACAACTTTTGTGATTAGAACAGAATTTACACTGGTGGTAGAATAAAATACTAACCTAACAGAAGAAGAAAAGGATACACAATGCTAAAAAGATGAAGGTGCTAGGAGACTACTGTTCAGTGTAATATTGAAAATATCAACTTTGCAAAAAAGGAATTTTACTAGAATGACCTTCAGAATTCATTGACATTTTTCCCACCCTTTGGCAGCAATGGTTTTAAACATTTCTTGGAAAGAATCAGAATTAGGGAAGGGTATATGTACTTCTTCATGTATATTTAGAATTTCTTTTAATAATAATGGCATTCAATCAGAGGGAAAGGAAGCATATGCTTCCCTCAGCCCATAGGAAGAGAAAAAAAAAAGGTTGAAAATTCTGTCATACTCCAACTCCAAGTTCTGATTGATTTATTTTTAGCAAATAAATACATACGCCATAAAATTCTGAACTCCTCTTCGAATGGTGGGAGTCTTAATTAGCTGTGGATACATATTTGCAGCATGGTCATACATTTGCCTGAAAGAACAAGAGTAACAGGAGTTATTCCTTTGCATCTTCTGTTTACCAACCAGTTAATTAACATGCATTGACAGCAAAAGCAACACAGTCCACAAAGTAAGTTTTTCCTACTCACAGAAAACACTCCAGGGCATGACAAAGAGCAAAAGTAACACAAAAGGATTGTTAAAATGTGACTTAAAATAAATTACTTTGTCAATGTCTGCTCAAACTGCTGCACAAAGGAAAGAAGATAAGCAAGAATGAGATTGAACTACTTCATAAAAAAACTGCACCTTCAGGGAATAATTGTAGGCCAGAAGCATATTGAAAGCATTATCACATTAATTTAAGCACAACAAAAATAGTTTTCTGAAGACCTATGCTATTTGGAATCACAAGAAACACAGAGGCAAAGGTAATATAATTTGCTGATTCAGTTCATTTCACTCTTCAGAGAGAATTTCAGCATGATATCTAGCAGGTTTTACTTGCCAGTAACCATGTTCCTTTCTGTTTAAGCTAAATATCTCAATTTTTAAGCATGTATAAAATGATCCTACATGTTACCACAGAAACTCCCACTCATGGCAGTCCTAAATAGATTCAGCTTCATAGAGACCAAAATTCTTGTGGCTTTTTCTGTTGTTGAATTCAGTTAGCTGTTTTATCCACATTAACTTTTAAAAACAGAAGTTGAAAAGGCTTTGTTGCTTGTTGGTTAGGGCTTTTTTGTTTGTTTTCTTGAAGTGAAGTACTTCAAGACGAAATCAACTGTTAAAAAAATGCTCAGGAGCCCAGAATTAAAGGCACCCTTCCTTTTTAGCTGAAATGTAATTGTCTGATCCAAGCCAAAATAAAACCTCAACATTTCTCTTAATGTGAGTCAAACTTAACCAACATTTTTTTCAGTCACTGATTAAATTGTAAAAAAAAAAGGGGGACATCAGCAGAGAATTATATCACTGAGGTCTGGAGTTGATAGAGATAGAATTACATCCGTCATCAGTACATTTATCTTCTAGCAAGTGCTGAGAGAAAGAAAACAGCACTGAGAAACAGATACCAGCCTCAAGGAAAGCATATGCCAGCAGGGCAAAATTCCTGTAATAAAACTTGTGAGAGCAGCTTTCTCTGGGAGGGATGCAGACAGGAGTTCTTCCCAGTTTCCCTCAGGGCATAATTAAAGAATACAGATAGAGAGAATGGTTTGCTGATGACTACAGAATCATCTACTGACCTCTTCTCCCCTCTTTCTGTCCCTTGCCCCATTCCCAGACAATTGCATGAATTTGATAGCATGATCCTGCTGCTTCTTATCTCAGTTCTGGTACCATTCTGACAATCAAATCTTATTGTCTCACACGTTCAGGCAAAACAGTAATCCAGCAAAAATGTGATTTGTTTTCATTTGTAGATTGAGTTAAGTTGTGGAAGGGAGATGCTGGGACAAGAGGGGAGCATTCAACAGCTTTGCACCATTACATTTCTCACAAAACTGCAGCAACAATTTTTAGTTCTAGAGTTTTCTGTCTCCCATGTAAAGCAAGACTACATAAAATATCATAATCTACTTCCAGAAGACTGCAAGAAAATTGGAGAAACAGATAAATATTCTCCGCCCCGGCATATTCACAGAGAATTTGGCAAATAAAAATCCCAAGTAATTTTAGGAAGGGAACTAAAAACAAACATACTCTATACTAGAAATCATACAAAACATACTCTATACTGGAAATCAGAGCTCTCATGTCACTAAAGAGGAGCAAATAGCACAGGTTGGTCCATCTGGCAGATGATAATTCAGTGATTAGAGCCAGATGAGGAAGATAAAATCCAGCTGGGGTACTGGCCTAACCACTGCCTAAGCCAGGACCAATGATCAGGCTTCCAACTCAACCATCAGCTCTACTCTCTATTCTGCATTCAGAGGTTATGCAGATTTTACAGCAGTAGTATCTTTAAGCTGTCATGACTGATGTAGAGACTGGGTTAGGTTAGAATTGTGACTGAAAACACCTTCTTTAATGGTTTCACTCTTATTTGCTAACAGAGGACAAACAATTCCTGGAATTGATTTTTTTTTTTAATGATCAAGGTTATCAAGAATTTTTCCCCCAGTTGCTCTCTTCAGTTTTGGTTGTTTTTTTTTTTTTTGCTTTAACAAAGCTTCTATGTGCATGGCTTGTGTGTTTTGCAAGGGCATTATTCTCTGAATTAAATTAGATCACTACAGTAAGGCTTTGCAACTACATCTACAGCCAAACACAAGGCAATTGCAAATCTGGGACAAGAATTCCAAACCTAAAACCAGAAAAGCAGAGTCCTCCTTCTTTAAATTAGCAAGGAAGATGACAGGACTCCGGTCAGCTGAGGCTATATGAGGAAGAGTAAAATTAACGTTGCTTCAAATTTAAATGCTGTTTTTAGGCACCTGGCATGTCCCAGCTGGAACTGATTTAAAATAATGTCACAGATTTAGATGTGTTCTGCCACTAAGTAAAGTCAGGCCTCATTAACACTTCTCTGTTAGAAATGGGGAAAGGAAATTCATACCTAAGAAAGCCAGAGCAAGTTCCTTGGCCAGATGATATGACTGGACTTTGCAGAAAGGTGAGAGATTTGGGATAAAAACAAGTGCTTGAATCCCCAGACACTACAGACATTAGGATTCAATTTATCCAATGTCTAACTAGGCATTTTAAAAACATATGGATACTCTCATACTCTGAATCAGGTGTCAACACTAAGAAGATGAAGCATACTCTAGAGAAGACTTACATTTCTGCCATCACTGGAAAACTGGTCTGACTATTGTTTTCTCTACCACTGACCTATACAGTTAGAGCTGAAATTAATTATGCCCCAGTAATCCAAGATAAAACAGTTCTAGCATGTTTCATATTTTGATTTTTTTTTTAAATCTCATTATTTTACAGGCTGTTTAGGTTCCTACTATAGGCAAGGCATATACTTTTCAGAGAGAGACTTTATCACTCTTTTGCTTACATGCTAAAGGCCTAGCTGTGTCTGGAAACTCTCCTTCATGCCCTACAAGTAATGTGAGATCTGAGCTAGCTGAGAATTCCCGAAGGTCTCCAAATTGCAGGCCAAGTTGGACCTCCTGCTCATCCAACAGCTTCTGCAGGAAGCTGTACTTTAACATGGGTTCAGGCACCAATATTTCCATCCTATCAATGCATCACATCAGAGCTATTCCGAGCAGGACTTCTAGGATTTCTGCAAAGAGCCACCCTGGGTCTGCTTCATGGAGTCTTTACAACATATGGATGCAAGACAGCTGGAGACCATGGAGATGTTCAGACTACAGGTAGCCATGTATTAAAAAGCTCTTCAATTACCAAGCACACCCCATGTTTTCACATTGGAAGGCTGTGCCTGAACGACCTGAGGTGCTTGTACAGGTAAGTCACATAAGGGTCTTCACTGCAGCAGCTAAGTGGTTGACAATGCAAATAAAGCCTTCCCCAAAGCTAAACACGTACCTACACTCTCCCTTGTTCTTACCAAGAACTTAAAAGGGAAGCTGGAGCTGTGGACACTAATGTGTGCAAAAGTAGAACAATAGTGTGTAGAGACACCTTCTCTAAGGAGAGTTGTGATGGTGCTAGAGTTTCCTTAAAACAGGCTAAATGGGCCAGGCAGTCTGATGGGAATAGAGTTACTGATTGAGAAAGGCTGTTTCCCAGTTTTACTCCAGAAGACTTGTTTAACTGTTCCACAGAAAGAACATCTGCCTGCATGTTAATGAGGATTCTCTAAATTTCTAAGCTAGATGAAGGAGAAATGGAATTCTGAGTGCAATCTTAACATCTGCAGACTCAGGGAGTTCTCACTTCTGCAATTTAAGAAATTGCAAATACAGTCTATAAAAGGATTCATTAGTTGCAGTTTGCCAAATAAAAACCCACCAAGGTCATGCAGCTAAAACCTGAAGTAGCAGGTTCTCTGTCTTATCAAGGGTCAAGAAAGTATATCACTATTTCATCTCTGTTCCTTACCTGAAACATTTTCAGAAGGTATTAGCTTCTGGAGAAGCCTTCTTTATCCAAAATAGCTTTACACAACCTGACAGAAAAAACTTGTTTGTAACTCACAGAAAGAAATGCACTTGCACTGCAGTTACAGATGGACAGTGAGGCAAAGAAATAGCCAAAAAAATTAAACTCAGACAGTATGTATAATATTTGATACTCATTTTATTGACAGCAAGCATTTTCAGATTTTGCACTTGCCAGGAGATTTCTTGGTGGATTTTCTCAAAAAGTCTCCCCAGAAAAGGCAGACTTTGGCTACTTCTGATTTTGCATCTTAACCCACTCTTGCACTTAATCTCCTTTCAAACAGCTGAATTTCCCATTTTGCTTAAAAGCCTAAGTCTCAAACCATACTTTTCTATATTAATACAAACCCTCAGCTTCACTTCTGTTCATTACTAGTTCTGCTACATCCACTTCTTTACAAAGAGCCACTCAGTGCTGGAGCTTTTAGCCCTAGAGTAACAGCAGCCAGGGCTAGGAACCAAGCTCAGTAAGCACATAACCTGCAGAAGGCAAAAGCCTTGAGGAGAACAACTTGGATAACTTCACTTCTGTGAATCTTCACTTAACACACACGGAAAAAAAAAAGGGAGAAAACCTCCTTCCTCCAAAAGTTAGCCTAGAATAAGATATCAGATAAATCCCTGCAGACACTGTTTCAGATTCAAACCACATAAAAAGGAGCAGACACATACTTAAGTTTGTTTCAAACCCAGGAAGACACATAAATCTACTGTGGAGGCAGAAGAGGAAAGGGTGTGAGTTGTTCCTACTACAGCACTACTTGCCATCTAATTGAGCTTAGCATGGACTGGGCTACCTGTACTATGACAAAACTTAAGCTTAATCACCTATTGATCAACACACCTAGGTAAAGCCTTAGGAAAAAAACCTGTTGAACAATACCCAATTTTAACAATATTCTAGATGTAATGCTAGCATTCCCCAGATTTAGGGATAGTTTACATAAACTGGCCAAACAGGGCAAGGCAGTAACTTCTCACACCAAATAACAGATCTCTCATGAGCTTAATTCCCTTTCCTGTCTGGAGTCCAGGTTGCGTACTATGAATTTTAGGACTCCTTCACTCCCTCAGAAGTGTTTTGTTATTGACAAATAATACTTTATTGAATTTCCTTTATACACTTCCAGAGACGTAGGTGCCTCACCAGTAAAACCTACTAGAGAATCACATTATCATATGCCCAGAGAACTATCCATAAATATTAACTGATCTTAAAATATCTTACTAATTAAATGAATATAATCTTGTCCAGCAGCTGTATCTGACAAATGTTCAGCAGACAACCTTCCCTTGCTGGCCTGTGCAACACAGACTATGGGTATTTATTTCAGTATTCTGAAAGCAAAACTGGTGAAGCCAAAAAGTCAAGTCACAGCAGCCATTGCAAACTCCTCCCAGCATCAGAATTTTGGCATTTTTCTCTTCCTATGAATACGTTGATAGATCAAAAGATGGAGCTTGTTAAACAATAAGCCACGTGTCATGTTCTTAGCTGTATCACCAGCTATAGAGAATCACAGAATCACTTAGAAGATTGGAAAAGGCCTTTAAGATTATCAAGTCAAACCTAGCACCGCCATCTGCTATCAGGGAATATTTCATAATATCACTCTGTCTTCCAACTTAGCCACGGAAAGAACAAAGTTTGATTGGGGTATTTTTTGGGGTTATGGATTTTTCTATTTGTTTTATTTTAGGAAAAAAAACCCTGCACTGGATTCGTAACAAGTATAAAATTCTCTCACTTTTCATAGATGTGCACTGTGGGAAAGGCTCAGTCCCTCAGGGCTTTCAGGAGAACACTAACCCTTCTAGACACACCCCAGTCTGCCTTCAGGCCTATAGTTTTTGGGGTTTTGTTGTTGTTGTTTTGTTTTGGGTTTTTTTTAAGTTGGCCAAGACAACTCCCCATGCTGTGAAGTTTCAGTATCTGCTCTCTGCCAGTTTCTTGACATTATCTGCTGAAAAACATCCTTAAGGAAGCCCTGCAGACCTTGCTAGCAACATTTCTCCCTGCCTGAGCTGCTCTCAACTGCCTTATCAGCCACCAAACTACAAGCTGGGGAAATAACCACACTTTTTCCTACTCCCTATGCACTTCCTTACACTTACATTATTTTGTGATTACACTACTTAAGCAGTAATACAGATACAATACCCATCTATCCCACCAAGGTGTTGGGAGATGCTGCAGGATGAGAAGGGGAGGGCACATCCTGATCCCATAATGAAGAAGCTATACTTTGTACCTGCTACTAATTATAAGAATACCACACAGATGCAAAATGTATCATTAGTTTAAAAGGAAAGGAATTTAGGACAATGAAAGCAACCAAAAAACCTCACAAGTACAGAAATCCACTGGAAGTGCCATGAATTGAGTTGCTTCCTGAGGTACTTACGGAGCTGTGAGATAGCCTTCCAAGAAGCCAGCAACATACATAATATCTTCATTGCTTAAGGTCTGCGAGCCATAGCCTGCTCTGATCTCCAGGACTCCCCAGCCTGTTTTCTGTAGACTGTTGTTGTAGAAGCCATAAGCATCTCCACTCCTGTCCAGCATATTCCTGACCTGAAGTATTTTTTCAGCTTTATTCCAGTACACAGTTGCATAGCGGAGTTCTGTGGTGGAGAAGAAAGGAGACAAGGGAAACAAATATAAGAGGTGTTTACTATGCAATACTGAAATGTCAAGACAGTATTTTGGTAATTTAAAAAGTTAATTTCACAGCTTTCCATCAGGTTTAGTTCTACTACAGAGATCAACACTAATGCTAATATACTGAAAAAGGGCATGAGGACTAACTGGAGTTTTACAAGAGCTCACAGCTAAACATTCTCATGTTATTTTTCTGGAAGTTTTCTACAACTCATTCAGTGTACAGCTCCAGCATAGCAGAGTGTTGACATGAAACTCTGAGAAGTATTTCCTTACCTGGCCCAGAAGACAAGCTATACAAATCTTATTAAAAGCAACTTTAGAAGACAGTATGCCTTAGGAATTGCAAAGGATTATAAACTACTGTTGACTTAATTTTCCACCTAAAGATTCAAAAACTTCTAAAAGCTTTCTAAACCAGTTCCTGAGATGACATAACAGAGGCAGTAGGACACAGTGGATCACAAACTTAAAGACAAAAGCACAGCAGGTATGCAATCCTTTACAAGGTACACAGTGTTTATCATGCATCTGAAATAGAATTGATCCCAAGCATGATACAAACAGGAAGGAGGGGAATAGACTTCTCAGAGTTCCATTTGGACTGCTGCTTTAAAAAACATTCTTGATTTCTTGTGTTTTAATTCTGCAAAGCTGAAGAACAAAGAGCAAGGTAAACTGCTTTCTGAAAAAAAAAACCAAACCAAACCACCAAACAAACAACATGAAAAAAAATCCCACGCGCTACAATTCTAATTGACTTCTCTCTAAGAGGGGCTGTGATTACATCAGCTCTCTATGCATGACTGATCAAATCACTACTACATCACTGTGGGAAGACTTTAAAAATTGTATGTCAGAGGTCCAAGAATCATTTGAAAACTTTTAAGGGATAAATTCATAAACAGTCCTTCTGAATGACTGCACAGCCCTCTGGCATTTCACCAGCAAACTTGCTGAGGGAACACTGCCCCATCACCCAGGTCATCAAGGAAGATGCTGACCAGTATCAACCCCTGGCACAGACCACTTGTTACCAGCCTCCAGCTAGGCTTTGTACCACTCTGCACTAGGTCAGTCTTCGTGACATACTAGAGACACTTCTCATGGGAACAGCAAATGCATTGGCAGAACCAGAATCTTAGTAGTGAAAGAACTTTGCTTTTTCCACATTCTATGAAAAGAAGTTGTTACATGAGTCTATTCAGAGATGAAGTAATTCAGGGACTTGGAACACAGTGTTTAAAAACATGTTTTTCATCTGCCAGGTACTGAGGCTATTTAGATTAAAAGTAAACATGGGAATCACTCAGACTGAAAAATCTGTGAACTGAAGAGCAGGCTGATAAGGGTCATCACTGATGAAAGCCAAAGACCACCTTACAAAGCTAAAGCTTATATACCAAAAAAGTCAGGGCAAAGGAAGTTCTGTGAGGGGGTGATGCAAGGGGTCAGAGCAGAACTCTGTCTGTCCAGCAGTAAATGGGAGGCCTGATTCCAACCAAGAAGCCCATTGCAGGGCAGAGGAGAGACTACTTGCACAGTAAACAAAGATGTTGAGGAACAGATAAAAAGAGAAAGAACAAACTAAGGCAAACCATGACCATCTTTCCATCTCTTCAGGAGGCTGTGGAGAGGTGGCTGGAATTCAAAGGGAATCAGGGCAGCTGGGTATTGCTATTAGTGCCTGCAAACTAAATAGTGATGTCAGACTACCTATTAGACCTATACAGAAGCTGTGTCTGCCTAAAGCAAAAGAGCTGTTGCTTTCCTTTGGAAAAGAAAGTTGATGCCAAAGCCAGACAGACCCATCTGACACAGGTACTTGCACAGTGGGCTGGGTTCCCTTGTTTTATGCTCTGCCAGAGCATGAACGCACAGAGCTATTTTCAAAAGTCCAAACAAATTTTTGAATTACCCCTGGAGTCTGCCCTGTCCCAGCTTCCCTACATGACAAATTTAATCTGAAGAAAACCAGACTCAAAGCCAATGAGAGAGAAGGGGAAACATCAAATCACAGGAGAACTTGCAAAAAACCTTGAGAGGCCTTTAAAGGAATACCATCAAGGTAGCTGTTACAGTTTTACAACAGTGCTGCAAACCACTATTTCCCATTACGGTTTTTTCTTTTGATTGACTCATTTCAGCTTGCAGCTGGAGTTAAAACTACAAGCTTATAAACCTGTCTACACTACAATGTAATCAAAGCATTTAGTACCACCTAATTGGTACAATTTTATTCTTATTCATCTAAACAAGCAGGACTGCCTTTGCCAAGAAAACCATCCAGAAATATAATATGGAATACAGATATACAAGAAACATGTGCACATTTTCAAACAATTCTGTTTGAGTTCTGAAGAAAACAGAAGCCTTCCTATTGAATAACATTTATATTTGAATTTGAATATTACATTTATTTTTGGAGGGTGAGAGAGGAGCCCTAGCACCTCTTATCCCAGCAGTGATATTGGTCAATTTTTGCATATAAAGCAATTGCAATGTCTCCATGAACCTACAACTCATCCTTTCATCACCAAAGTTAAGACCTCCAAATGTTCAGCCTGCTAGAACTCCAACAAATCAGAGACTGTGATAATCTCTAACTATTCCACAACAGTGTTGCTTAGAATAACCTCAATAACACACCAAAGCACACACTATCTACGGCAATGAACAAGTCAAAATCCTGGGGGATGGGGTGGGCCAGTGGAATCATCCTTCCCCTCCATGAGCCAGCCAGGAGAACTGCACAGCATCAGCAATGCAGAGTTTCACCACAACGACCAGTGGGGTGGGAGAGAGATATGCAGAAGTGCAATGACAGAATAAGCCTGGAAAAAAAGAGTTTCTTCTCCTTTCTGCAGGAAAGGGGGACTGGGAGGAGCCTTCCTTCAAGCTGTCTCCTTTTAAAGATACATCAACCCTTTTCCCAAATATAGATCCAGAAACAGAGACTACAGTTGGGAGAGTGCTGGAATTTCTACAGCAAGTGAGAAATATCAGCTTTCTGTCAAATTTATTCTCTAAATAATGGGAAAAGGGTATTCAGCCATGAAAATAGGAGGTGGTAGCGGTCCCTTTGGGTTTTAAGCTGAAACACCAAATCTGTTCTCTGCCTTTTGGGCTCAGTACAGGCATTTCAAAAGTTATGTTAAAACAGTATATTGTCTTTTACTTGGTGGCAGCTGGAGAGTAGAAAAACATACATGTGCATTAGAATATGAAACAAGCAATTAAAGGAAATACTAAGATAGAGGACTGGCATGAGATGAAACACAAGAAAAGCAGATGGTGAAGAAGACATGAAGGAATAGCAGCAATCTGCAATAAAAAAAGCAGAATTGACAGAGAAGATGAAAAATGAAAGAAAAGCAGTAAGGAGATGGCCCAAGACAATCTAACAAGCACACTACTAGTAATATTTATTAGATAAATTAGAGCCAAAAAGTAACACCTAGCATGTATAAAGAACACCAGTAAGATTTATTTGGCAATATGCAACAGTTGCTTTTCCTTAGGCTTTCCCAGCTATAAGTTGTTTTTAAAACATATATATATCAAGTTAGGTTATTGGACTTTATAATTTGAGAAATGAGTAAAGCTCTTTTCCTTGCTGGATGAAAGAACTACAAGGTCTGGGGGTGAGAAATAATATTCGTATTTTTCCTTAGTCTGCCAAGCAAGCCAACTCACAAGCAATGGAACACTGGTTGGTTCACACGTAACAAGCTAAATTAACAATTGTGAGCATCTCCTACTAATATGAAAAATTAGTAGTTAAGGAAACCCGTAGTTAACTACTAATTTTTATCTGTGGCTTTCCAAATGTGAAGCTATTTTTTTGTAGAGGTGTTCTTCATAGATTCTGCCCATAAACTTTTCACTAAATAGGGAAGACAGCGCTCTCCTGTTTCATCAAAAACTAGTTTTGCATCACTTCAAAATACAAAAAAATTTAGAACAAAATTGCACATTTGATTTCAGTATACCTACCCTCCCCTACAACTAATGTTCAGTAGTAAAGATTATATTATCACAGTATAGCATTTAAATATTTAAGGTCAACCATAATAAGGGTGTTTCTGTTCAATGTTTTAATTTGAAAGACCTTGACCTACTTTTCCATTAAAAATTTTATAGAATCATAGAATGTTAAAGTTTGGAAGTGACCTTAAAAATCACTTAGTTCCAACCTCCCTGCCATAGGCCTCATCACCTTTCACTAGTCCAGGTTGCTCAGGGCCCCATCCAACCTGCCCTTGAACATTTCCAGGGATGGGGCATCCACAACTTACTTGGGCAGCCTGTGCCAGTGCCTCAGCACCCTCATGGTAAAGAATTTCTTCCTGTAACTAATCTCAATCTGCCCTCCTTCAGTCTAAAACCACTACCCCTTCTGTTCTGTCACTACCTGCTCGTATAAAAAGTCCATTTTCCTCCTTTTTATAGTCCCCCTCTGGGTACTGGAAGGCTGCAGTGAGGTCTCTCCAGGATGAACAACCCCAGTTCCCTCAGTCTGCCTTTGCAGGAGAGGTGCTCCATCCCTCTGACCATCTTTGTGACACTCCTCTGACCCTGCCTATCCATGTGTTTATTTTTTTAGAAGCAGCAGTTAAACTATTTTTGAAAGGCTGTATAACTCTAAACAAGGGAGATTTCAATATATGGTTATGACTGGAATCTATTACAAAACAAAAATATTTCAGGGCTTCTTTAGAGATTAGCTTAAACCCCACAAGAAATTAACAAATTCCAGTAATTTTCAAATAAAGGAGAAAATGCTTTCTTGATCTGCCTGAAAATAAGCTATTTGTGTTTTCTACTCTACTGGCCTTAATTAATCCTATTTCCTCATGCATTTCGGGTCTAAGTAATTTTTCAATTTGCTTCCAACAGGCCTGTCCTTTGAAGCCTAATGCCTTGATTTGTGCTTACATCAGTGAAAAGTAATATTCAAATGTGACCTATCAATTAAGAGTTTCAGTCTTGTATGGTTTTCATGTTCACAAGGATACTTACTAGTAAAGCTCAGCAAATTTGCCAAAACAGTTATAGGTACCTAGTATAGGTCACCCAGAGGAAACAAAACCAGCCATTCAACAAGTAGCTTCACTAATGTCAGAGCACCTCAATTTAAGTCATATTAAAGAACGTTCTCTAGAAACATTTTCCAAAGTGTATGATGAATAATCTTCAAGGCATTCAAAGTGCTAAAGAACAATGAACCAATTTTTAAAAACCCAAACAATGGAATCTAGACAATTCACAATGTTGAAAGCCATTTACTCTATTAAATAGCCTAAAGGCATTTCTATTTGCTCCTTTGTAGCTTTCCTAGTAACTCAATTATGATGCTAGAAATCAGTTGGGCATTAGATGAAACTACTTCATAGCCTAAACTTCCTTTCATTTCCTCTAGATAATTTACAGCTGACCCTCCCTTTCCTCTTCCTAACTGAAGTTTTTGCCGATCCAGGTAAAGTTTTGAAAGTATGTCTGCAAGATGAGATAGGACTGCCCACAAAACGATATGCTTATAATATTTTGCACACGTTGAAACAACTGTTACATTAATTTCTCCTTGGTTTGTGGCACTTCATACATTAACTGGGAAATTCCTGGAAGATAAGCACCAAATCCAGCCTTTAAAACCTTCAGAATTTATTGAAAGCAGCACAAGAGTGAAATACTCTGTCCCTGCCCGAGGCAGCGTGGTTGGAACAAGATGATCCTTAAGGTGCCTTCCAACTCAAACCATTCTGGGATTCCGTATGAGCGCTGAAGCACAGACCATGACCTGTACCCCACAAGGCAGCACTAAAACTCTGCTAGTCACAAGCTGCAGCACGCTGTAGGCCACAGCACCACAACGAAGTCTTCATCCCGAACGATTCCCGTGCCTGCATATGACATTGAAAACCAGCTCGGCTGGGAGCTCAAGGCAATTTACCACCTGTTGGATCCTCAGTTTAAATCCCCGCGCCTCTTCTGGGAACTGGGAGGATGTTTAGAAAGCGCCGGCACCGAACACCCACGAAGCAGCACGGCCGCGCCGGCCCGGCCGCCGGGCACGAGGTGCTCGCGGAGCAGCCGCTGAGGGAGCGGAGCCAGCCCGGCCTGCGGGGTCCCGCCGTGGCGGCGGCCTCGCACCCGCGTCCCAGGCAGCACGGGGCGGATGCACGGCTGCCACGGGCGGGGCGCGGAGCCCGGCGGTACCCCGGGAGAGCTGCAGCCTCCGCCGCAGCCGAGCCCGGGCCGGGCTACCCTCCCGACCGCCTGGAAACACTCGCGGGGCAGCCCCTGTGACTCCTGTCGTCCCCCCCACCACGGCGAGGGGGCTCTGGCCGGCCGCCCCCCGCGCCCCCACTCGCCTCACCTGCGCGGCCGCCCACCGCCGCCCACAGGAGGACGAGCGCCCAGCAGCAGCAGCGGCACATGCTGCCGCCCGCCCGGGCCATGCCGCCGCTCCCCCGCGACTCCTCCGAGCGCCGGGAGGCGGCGGGACTTTAAGAAGTTCCCTCGCTCAGGGCAGGTCTCGCCGCTGCCCCCGCCTCCTCCGGCGCCCGCCCCGGCAGCGGCGGCCCGTGCTGGAGGTGGCCCTGCCGGGGACGGTTGTTCCCCGCGCCGGCCGCCGGGATGTGCCCCGGGAGCGGCGGAATCTTTCCTGCTCCGATACGGGTTTGGAGACCCCAAGGCCTGGCTGAGGTGTGGGAATCACCCCTGGCCGAGGTCCGGCGTCGCAGGGTAGTGAAGGCGGGTCCCCAGGCAGGTGCCTGTGGCGCTTTTGGACTTCCCGAGGGTGATTAACCTTGAAGGGGCGAAAGCAAGAGGAGTTGGGCGATGCCTTATCAAAATATGCGTTTTGCATCACAGCGTGAGAAACGACAGCGAAGGGCAGCTTTCAGCCCTGTTAGAACAGTAATTGCTGTGTGTGTCCCAGCAGAAGAAATGAGGGATAGAACTTTTCCTAAGGTTTACAGATAGAGACAACTTTCCTCGGGGTTTTCCTTTGCACCCGTGATTCAGACCATTTTGAGGCACTGCGTTTTTGTCTCACCCAGTGTTGGATATTCTGCCATTATCTGAAAAGGGCCATTATTGGGACTTTGTGTTTCAGTAATTGTTTAAGACAGTTTGAATTTGATACTGGTGCCTGTAATAGCCCTATATAACACGATCACATGCCAACCAGTTCAGGCCAAGTAGCAAGCCTTGGCCCCAAGCCCTGGGTAAGAGCACTGCGTCACCAGGCTGCAGGGATCCCTCCATAGCTATCACTGCTTTGTTCTCGGCTACTTTTCACTTAGAGAGAAGGAAAAAACAGACATTCAAACCAGAAACCAGGATTTTTTAAAAGAGTAGTCAATGTTGATTTTATTGTGGTGTGTTGGTAACAGATATGTGCAGGGACAGAATCATGTGAAAAAGAAATCTACCAGAAGATGGGTCCATCAACTCATTGCTAAGGTAACTATTTCTCTTCACAAAATGATACAAACTATATTGTCTGAAGAACACTGGAAAGAGAAGGGCTGCTGAAAACTAAGCACTTTTTTTAAAGTAATTTTCTCAATCAATGTCAGCAGACATGCTCTAAAATAATTTGTATCTCAGGGGTGTCAAGGAACCCATAAAATTCTTCTTTAAAAAGAGGAGGTAGGTCACTTGTATCACTTCAAAGATCAGAACAGCTCTGCTTGGGGTAATCATAGTGGTCATCTTCAGGCTTGACGAGTCCAGCGCTTGTCACTACAATACAGCTCCACTTGCTGAGTGTTCCAGCCACAACAACCAGAATAGCCCAGCAGTGCCCAGTAGCCCAGCAGTCACACCCAAAAACAAAGACATAGAGACAAAGCTTGTGGATTGGCACCACGAGGTAGGAAATAGCTGACTTTATATTTTTATTGTACTCATACTCTTTTCAATACATACCAGTTTTAGCACATCAGGGTTTGTGGGATTTTTTTTCTATCCTCACCCCAATGAATGTTTCCATTAGGACACTGAGGATGGTATGGTATTAATGCCAGTTTGAGTTTCAGATTGGTTACATATCATGTGAAAGCTGTGACTGTTGGGTACACACTTTCTGTTATTTGTCTGTATCATGTTCCTGAGTGTAGGAATATCCATCTGTTAGATAAGAGTATAAGCCCTACAGAACCTCATTATTGAATTTTTCCAGTAATCTTTCACTTCAGATCTATTTACATCTATATTGTTCTTTTAACGTGTGTGTGTGTTCTTACAAAGCCAGCTTCTCTTAGAAAGAAAAAACAGAAGCAACTGGATTGCTCTCTTTTAATTCTTTTTATGTTATTTAGTTGAGCAAAAATGGTGTTCAAAACTATAAAAGAATGATTTTGCACCAGTTTTATTGTTGAATACTGACCAATATTTGACAATGGTGGAAGTAGTTCTGCTTTGAAAGCCAACAATGCACAAAAGGCCCTTGCAAAAGCAGATATTCTTCACTCACTAGATGTTATTTCTTCATGTGAATGCTGATTTTCTTTTACATATGACCCCTGTGCTTTTGTTGCTTGTTAAAGCTGTTTATTAATACCAGTACCATGGTGTCAGTTGAAGAATGAGTCATCTGAGTAAAATTTGCTTTACAGTAAAACTGCATCCAAAAGTTGAATTGCAAAGGTTTGAGGTTAAGAAATCCAAATAATTTTATTTCCTTAATTTCTGTTTCACTTCTGGTTTGGGGGCAGAAGCAGAAGTAGTGAAAAGATATGAAAGTGTCTTGTTTTGCATGAATGAGTTTCATTTTTCAGGCCCAGGAGATTCAGCTAAACTTTAGAAACCATACTTCTGGAATAATCTCCCAATGTAAATAACAGAAGTGTTGTCTCTTGAACAAAGTCAGCTTGATTCAAGAAAGCATGTGAAACACAGAGGAAAATAGCAGAAGAAACAAAATAGCAACATAATCAGGTTTTACATATGATATATTTAATTATATTTTCAAATATAATACACCAAATCTTTCTTCACATAAAAATTACAAATTAAATACAACATCTAAAGATCATGGCAAATTATGGTTTTCCTGTGAATATTTTCAGAAGTGGATTATTGAACAGGCTATCACAATTTAAAAAAACCTAACTAAAACAAAAACCCCCACTATTTTCCAGACTCAAGTGCAAATATTTTCATTTACCTCAAATCATGCTGCATGTGTCCTAACAAAGTCATCCAACAATTTCAATGTTACAGTGAGGAGTGGTTTGATTTACTGATAGCAGGTTGGATGGTAAAAAGGACGCTTGAGAAGGTGTTTTCTTTTTCCTCTAATTGTGTCTACAAGCCTCCAGCCTCCACATGAAGTTGTCCAGAGAGTTGCTGCAGCTTTTGAGTCATGCTAGATATCCAGTTTTAAATGTAAGTGGTGAAATTCTCTGTGCTGACCAGTTGCAGGTATTCCAGGGTACCTGATCGGTGGCTACCTACCCGCGAAAGCTCCTGTGCCTTGGATCCTTCATTTTCCCTTTTCTGAAGACTGTTGGTTATCATCTCTGCTAAGTCATCGTGTAACCGCTGCTGATTCTCCCTAAAATCAACAGGACAGGGAAAAAAATTCAGTGATTCACATGTTTTTGGTGATCCTCAGGTCCCCAAAGATTTTTAAACATTTCTATTCCCACGTTTATCTTAATGTCATTCACACACTACTGATAAAAAGTGGGGACAGGACAAATTCAGGTTCTGAATTTAGGAACAGAAGAAGGATTTTCATGTGAGTTTTCCAGATAGTATGGATCAGTGTCTTTGCACAAGAGGTCTGTAGCTGTGTCATTATTGACCTTAAAAAGTCATGATCACTTGCACGAAAAGGAAGACACAGATTCAATCCTAATCAAAACAGTTTGTAGCTTTCAATATCATTACTTTATGACACCAGCTCTCAATATCATTACTTTATGGCACCAGGACTTTAACTATTCAACTTCAGGTGGCCTTCAGTAATAGAGTTGCCATTGTTTCAGAAACTTCTTCAGTATATTTGGCTTTTGCTGGAGTGCCCCACATATGACAATTTTTAAGGGGCAATCATATATGAAGAAGTGAAAACAAAAGCATCGTGTGATACAGCTCAAGAGGTACTTTAAATTGTTGAATTTCAGAAGATTGCCAATTCAATAATTCTGATAGTCTCAACAGATCATATTAATTTTAAAAAAACAGTTCTGAATTTACAAAAGAGATGTATCATGAGGTAGTCTTGACAGTATTTCCTGCTCAGCCCAGACTCTTGTACTTTCCATTTAAAAAAACAACAAAGCTCATGAGATTCTGTAGCAGATTAAAAATTTGATTATTTCTGTTTTGTAAATGCCCTGAGAAAACCCTCATATTCCACTTAATCTCCTCTTTTCTCTTAGGGACTGAGAAATTTATTTGTGCAAAGGACACACTGTGAGACTCAAAACTTACAGTAGGAGCAAGCTGTAACATTTACTTATGCATTTCAGGACAAGGGATCCCCATGTATCTGGCAAACACCAATTTGCAATATCATTACTTCAATTTGTAAGGAAACAATGTCATTTCAAAGCAGATGGCAACAAATTTCCACTTACTGAAGAACAACTGTACACAGGTGTTAAGAGCAGAAAATTAGGAACTTCCACATTTAGTGAGTTTGCAGGAAATAAAAAGATACTTATATGCAAAATATCCCCTAAGAAAATGCAACAAGTTTTCCTGACTTCAATTTTGCATAGTTGCTCAAAAACATCACTTCCGCTATTGCTACATTTTATTCAATTCTAATGCAAAATGATGGCTCAGCTCCAAAACATCAACCTCATATTTTTTTATTACTGATAACTTCTCTAAATGTTAGAAAGTAATCTCTTGTTTAATTTTTAAAGGCTTTATTCCTGTGCAGTACTACAGTAACTTTGTCCACCTCTTCTAGCAGAATAGTGCTTGAAATCCTGCAAGTTTCCTCTTACAAATTCCTCCACAAGAGTTCACAGGCACAACAGAGCTGCACACTCAATTATGGTTATCCTCTTCCTGTAGTGTGACACACAGGTGCCACTAGGACTAAACTTGTGGGAATATTATTTTTTTAATTTTCCAGTCCATGTCTTGCTTTTATCACATTAGCAACTTGTCCTGTAAGTCTTACAACATTTCCAAGGCAAAGAAGCTGCCAAACATTTATATAGACAACCTTCAGCACACACACAGTCCCACGTAATGAATATTTACATGTTTATATGCATATACACTATCAAGCCTCTAACAACTGAAGGCAAATTCAATGGTATAAAAAATCCACAAGTGCAAAGAATGGGAACTTCTTCTCCCTTTTCACATAAAAAAACCATCTTACACAGAAGGAGGTGTTGGGAGATTGTATTTCTTGTCCTCAGTACCCGTCAACCAGTAGGTAATTTCTGTTCCTCTGCCCTAAAGAAGAGAAAGCACAATT